ATTAGAGATACCAATTCTGTTTTTATCATTATTAATTTACAGACGCCATCTAGACTTAATTGCTATAGATGAATGTTTTCCGTCCAAATGATTGTGGCTCGCGACTGATAACTATTACATTATATACTGTACAATCATTTGTTGGTTTTGGTCTCACCAACTGTGGGAAACGTTCATCGATAGTGTTTCGCGTGCTGAGTGTTGACCGTTAGTGTAACACCCGAAACAGCACCATTCAGGCAGCAATGAAGGCAGAATGAAAAGAAGAGTACAAACCTTTTTGAGAAATAAATAAGATATCAAGAGCCATGATGTAGTGCACATAATGCATAATGTGGTGTTCCCTTAAATTGACAACTACTTGAATTTGTGTTTGTTTATTATGGCTTGCTGCCCAGACTGACACATAAAGCTCCAAATCGTATAAAAGGTGGATTTGTTACGAATACTGCATGTAATTGGTATCTTTTAGCGTTTTAGTTTCTGTAAAAGCTGTAGACGGACTCTAGCTAGACACTAATTGGTTCCCTGCCTAGGTTTCGGTTCGCGATTCAGAAGAAACAGATTACTTATGATTGTCCCTGGTACAGTTTGTATGCACTAATTCAAACTGAGTAGAACGACACAACATGTCCTTACTCATACAAGCTATTATGGAGGGTTAATTAAAATTGCCACAATAGTAAATATATGGAAACTCGCATGAGAAATATCTGAAAACATTGCAGTAGCCTTGTATTATATGATGTAATAAACAATTAAGTACTATACATTTGCAGTGTTTGTATGCATCATGGATGACTGATGATATTCCTGATCATTTATTTCACTTTTCACTTTGCTTGTGTATCGCATTCGAATATGCAAATCGTATTCGTGTACCAAATTATAACTTCCAATCACAACTCGTGTAACCTTTTGATTGTCGGGAGTCTCTGCTCTTGGAAATATTCGTGACTAAGGAATATCTTATTAAACTCAAATTTAATTGTGCACAAGGCTTTCAAAATTATACTAGCTATATGCTATATCCATACACTTGACAAAACTTTTGTTGTAACGTGTAGGATACGGTGATTGATACAACTGTGACCTTATCTGATGTACGCGTTTGGTTTGAAATGTGAGATGGATGGGAAATGACATTATATCAATTGTCATATTTACATGATGTTCAGCAAAAAGGATGGAAAGCGAGCAGAGAAGCAAACGACTTTTGATAGATCACAATATGTGCTGGTTGTAATGGAATAAATTAAACTACATCAGATCAATTAATCAGGCTAACGTGAGGTTGATCGCGGTTGGTAAATTTATCACTATTCAGGTATCTCCAGATCGTGTAAAGTAAAAGGAATAGATACAAACAGGGTTTAACAAAATACGAGTTTCGTATATATGAATGGTAAATTGAAACCTTTAAGTAGGGTAAATAATCGTAAAACTCGATGGTTTTATTGAATCCAATGTTAGGAACACAGAATTTTCACATACACTGCTTTGACTTCGAAAATGTTTGCGTTAGTTTTCAGTATTATAGTCTATACTGTAAAGGTATAATTTCGCCACCAGAAGAATTTCGTGACAAGAAATACATGAAAGACTAGAGTTGTACGTGCTGACAGAAATAATACCTTGTGTGTGAAAAATTATGGTCAGTTATGTAACAGTAAACACCGATTAACTTCTCCATCAAGATGAAAGCAACCCTGCCTCAAAAGATTGTTTGTTGATCAAGGATGACTAACACGGATTCGTCAGTCTAGGGAAAGGAACTGAGGTACGAAACAGATGACAACCTCTTGTGTATGTAACACTTTTATTCTCCTTATAATTAAATAAACCATGTACATGCTAATGTTCTGTCTATTCTACAAATGTGCTATAGAAGTAAATTTTTCTTGCAACCAGTTCAGAGTAAGGCAGCCCAGAAAGTCACAGCCTAACTTTAATGTTTGAGTTATTAACTTAGACTGCGATTTTGACTCTAACAGATAGCGACTCTTAATAGAACGAAGTGCTTTAGTTTACTCATTAGCAAAAATATTATGACATCAACAAGGACAACATAAATATCATTATCTACTTGGCTTTGTTTAAACTACAATAAGGAAATATTTTTTTTACAAATATATTTGTGATTTATTCAGACCTGTTTTTGATTGATCACCTAATATTCTTGGATTGTTCCGTTGTACTATTTAAACTTGGATTAATGTTAATTTGGTTATTTATTCTCTGAAGAAGTGGCTTACACTGAGTCACGAAACGTCAGAAAATCTAATTTTTCTACTCATTGGGATATTACAAATATATTATTTATTTATACAATAAGGAAAGTCAGTGGAGTCCCAGCACGGAAACGATTGGTCTTGTTTAGATCAACATTCCATTTTCCGATGCATGTAAGTTCAGTTTCGGTAAATCTACCCATAATAAGTCCTGATAACGCGTATTGTGGCAGCACATAGTTCATCTTCAACGATATGTTTAGTGAAATATCTTTTCTGCTTAACTAAAAATCGAAGATAAAAATCCACCTTCCGAAGACAAAATGCCACATTCAGACACCAATATTGTTCAGAATTTGAATATTTGTGAGAGGAAGTGAATAGAAGTTAACAACCGGCTGTGAAAAGGATGAAGATGCAACGGACACTTGGAGTCTGTCAATGATTTTGTACGTAAAACCTTTATAATTGAGAGATATCAATCCAGTCGAATCAGAAGCCAAAGATAAATGAGTTTGGAGTGATAACTGGGAAGCTGCTGATATTTTGTAAGGGTTTGATTCAAGCTGGTTATTATTGGAAAGGATGCGTAACACAACGTACCCATTCGTGATCTAGTACTAATGCGAGGTAAAGAGCCTTCACCTACGTTGATTACAACTAAATTAATGAGATTAGCACCATTAACGAAAACCTACATAATCATTTATACTAGGGGATCATTTGCTGCTGCAGTTCACTTTACTTCAAGTTGGCTATGACGACCTTGAGATGTGGTAAGCCAGAAGTGCAAACATATGAAGCTAAGCTTTAGCAAACACTCTTCTGAAAGCTTGCTATATCCGGTAGTGGTTTGGAATTCCCCAAATTTACTCAAAATCCGGTCTACATCTGAAAGAATGCTGTTTCGTAAGGGATGGGGTTGTTGACCCCATTGACCTCCCTTACTTGGACTGGAAATAACCCAGATAGGGTCTTGTATATTTCAACTCGAAACCGCATATGATACCCACTTAGTTAGTTTCTTACATCAACCGTAGAACTAAGGGTGGGCTGAGAGCATCGTTGTTACATTGAATGATAAGTTTCAGGAATTTTTGGAGAAAAATACTCAAAGGATTAATCCCTGTGTTATCAAATTATATGGCTACTCGAAAGCGTACCACGAAGGTTCAAATGGATCATAAAATTTATTCTGTCCTACTAATACCATGCTTTAACCAATGTAACATGCGTTTCACATGAATCTAAGTTCACGGTTTTGTTTAATGTAGCCTTAGTGATGTCCGAAACTGTTTAAGATACGCTGCATAGTTCCTCCGCAGATAGTCTAGTGAAGTGCATTCACAGAGAAAATGGACACAAAAAAGTCGCAAAGTTCCATCTCTGAGCACTGAGAATAGAACCAGGGATGTACAGTTAGAAAGGGACTGATACTTTTGAGGTATTTTTTCATACACATCTTCAACTTTATACATAGCTTCAAAATTTTTGTAAAAATAGAGAGCCGTAAACAGATCGTTCTACGTGTCTGCACACTTTATGGTAAATCACTGCTCAATATAAGTAGCTTTGTAAGCAGCTGAAGTACTTCAACAGAGAAAGAGTTTTAACATTTTTGGCGGGCAAAACGTAGCTTAGTCGACTGAATTTTCCAGAGGAATACTAAATATACACGGTTAAATGGATTGTATGCAACAGCAGCATTCTAGGTAACCACTTCCAATCGACCGTATAAAATAATCAATATCCATCTCAGGTTTGTGAAGAATGTATGCAGATAAGATTATCTATAAGATTTATAATATGTATATACATACCGGTTTTTCCTGTATGTATTTAACGATTTTGTTTCCTTTAGAGAACATTGGAACAAAAGAAGTCAGGTACACGAACGAGTTCTGAATATTCATTTTCCTTTCATTCGCTGCCAAAGACAGAGAAACAAAGCGGAGAAGCAGAAAGAAGAAGGCAGACACGTCTACTCTACATGATAACCATTACAAGCGTTAATATAGCTCGAAGTAGATGAGAGGTAATATGGCAAAGAGACGGTCATTTCATAAAACAGTGCTTGGTAGACAAACACACACAAGGCACATGTAAGGTAACAAAAAGACATGTATGTGTTTTGAAGGTCTTAACTTCTCATGCAGATAACAGCGTTATCCCGAGGGCAAAATAACTCAATGTCACATGCTGTTTTAGTCGTTAGGTTCTATTCGAAATCTAGGATGAATCATTTAATTACGTGTCAGTACTGTACACTACAAATGTTTTGAAAATGTGAAATACCACTGACTAAATAGATAACTGTGTTTCGAAACTGGTTTTGACATTCTGATTTCAATACCTTGTATAAAGTTAATTATCGCGGAAGTTAATCTCAGTAAGTCCTCTACACGCTTAGTAGCAAAGTAACACAAGTTTACTTAATTGTCCATACCTGTGTATACCGTACAATCTTATTTCCCTTAATTATAGATTATGTTATGTCACGTTTTAGTTAATTGAAATCAGACTAGCCGTATGCTATTTCACAAAGTCATTGTACAAATTCGCATGAATATGGTTATTGGGCATGATATAAATCTAGAAAATTGAGGGGATTTTATATACTATTAAACATCGATGTCAGTTTGAAATCACTCCCGAAGATTGTCTGTTATTTTTCTACTTTCAAGACATTAGATGAATAATTTGTTTAAACACGTCAACGATTTTATCTTATTGACAGGTATTTTTTAAAAGGGCGTGGATGACCTAGGTCCCTGAATCTTGTCTGTGTTTTGGTACGTTAACCTGAGGAACCTTTATGTATCTCACATCCAGGGAAACACTTATTGTTCATTCATTAATATTTTTAATGCATTTATAGATTACTGTATTAGGAATTTTGCATCCTTATGTAAAAGTTGTGGTGCTTAAAAAATGTCTTTTTAGAATATTGTCACAGTATAATATAATGTTGACCTTAGGCGAATTATCAGTCTATTGAGAAACACTTCCTGGTTATCGGACAATTGGCAATACGTAGCAATAAATGAATAGTGGTATTACAGTTCTAATCGTAATGAAGAACTCTCGTAATTTAAATTATCCCACTTAATAAAGGAAGGTCAGGTTTAAATAAACAAATACATGCTAAGATTTTGATTCAGGTTTATCACCCCACAGAGTTCTCGTCACAAACTGACATCAGTCAATGCAGTAAGTTTAGGGTTAAGCATAGAGTTAAACTGGAGTTTTGAGTTGAATTTACTAACTGCGGTCAGATTTTTTAACATTAACTGACAGCAGCTATAATATAATGTCTTCTCACCCTCCTGTTTACAAACCTGACGAACGTAGGGCTGTGATTTATAGTGATAGTAAGAAAGGGAGAATATTATATAGCTTCATTAAACTCTTGATTAGTCAACAAACTATATAAAGTACTTAGACACAATTTGCTTTAAAAGCAGTTATGTCATATAATTTGACCTAATCACCATCTACACCCCACTTTTTCTTCAACTATATATTGCTTTCAAATTTAAAGAACCCAATATGCCTATTTCCACTTGGTTCATATTGGCATAATGACACGCTATCACTCCACTCAAAATAATTGGGATGTTATCTTGACTCCGGTTATTAACTAAAGGCTATCAGTATAATTCGCCTGTACCTGATATTTGTGTCTGATGTTGATTGTTTCTTGATGACACGTTGGGCCCAGTAGCTTGGTTACACATATTTATTATCGTCACTTTTACTGAAAAAGCATAGGAAACTGAAGTGTTGTATCTTCTGTCGTTTCACATTGAGTACAAAAATGTCCATGTTACTACCCATAATCGGTCATAATTTCGTAGCTGTCATTCATAAGTAGTGCATGACCTTGGACAAATACCTGGCGTAATAATGTATTTCATTCATAAACTGCTTCTAATTAATCAGTGTCTCCCTTACTGTTTGATACTGTGGGAATCTCATTAATCAAGCTCCACTGCCTTGTGGATCAGATCTTTCGGTCAAAAGCTCCGGGTGTGGGCCCCTAAGAAAACCACCTGCTTCAGTTTTGGACGTGGGCAGTATCACAGCCCTCAAGCAAATCGAATGAGATTTGTATGGCGCATATATATCCGGTGCTTCCTTGTACCAATATTTATGCGTTTAAATAAATAAATAAAATGTCTACCAGCATCCTGTTTAAAATTGCAGGCTGTTAACCCCAAGATCCATGAGTTAATAGGAAGTAAACGTTCAAGATTAGGTAACATACAGTTTATTGTTGTAAGGTTCATCTTAGTCAAACGATCAACCATCATGCAACTATAGTACTGACGATCTCTTGTCTTCTCTCTTTCCATTTCACTATTCTTACTTCATATTGACTGGATCTTAATGTACTTTCAGAGTATGAGATAGCTTGAGATGATGTCGCATTGTATATCGTTCTATATTTTCTCATGTTCAGAGTTTTTAAACAATCTTTTCTGCTAGATGTTGACAATGTGAGTTGAAAAGTATCTTCGTTCTAACATGTAGATAAAGTTTAGATAAATATAGAATACTTTATGATTATTTGTTAACGTTTCTTGGCAAATATTTCTCGAAAACGTTCTTTGTAACATTTTTGTTTGTATAATGACAGCTTTTTAAATTTTATTATCAGTGTTGTAATGCTTGTTAAACTTTTCATGTTTGTTAGCTGTTGAAACGAGTTCTTCGCTTTAAACCCGAATGCATCTACATATTGGTTAAACCATGAACTATGAAAACACCCCAAAATATGAGGATCAATGGGCAAATTTTATACAGTCATTAGATGTTGATCCAGATAAAGCCAAGGGTATTGAACAGCTACCTGATGATCAGAAACGTCAATTATTGGAAAATTATGTAAACGCCTGTGTATTGTTTTGTTGAAATCATACTTTAGGCTGTAAAAAATCCAAAGTTTTCCGCTTTTCATTATGTTAGCCTGATTAAGGGCTTACGTGTCGGGCGGTCAACATTGACAAAGGTTTGATTATCTTCGCTAACAAAGTTTCTTTTTTTAGAATCCTCGTAAAGGTGATGCTCAGCAAGCTAAAGAAATTCTTTTAGCCACAGAAATATCCTTGCGAACAAATAATGTAGCGTAAGTTTCTAGAAAAAGTGGCAGAGTTGTATGCATTCACTTTTAGTTGGGTTTATGATTTTCTCGATCAAGAGGGTTTGGAGGCATTAGTGAATTATGTGTCTAGAGTAATACATATGGTTATGAGGTAAGCTGAAATTTTAATTCATTTCAAATCTATGACTAAACAGTTTAAAAAGGTTTAGAAAATGTTCTGTTTTGTCGTAAGTTACATAATGCATGGGTTTTGACTAAGAATTTTCATTTATCTACACAACTTTAAACTGAATCATTGTCAATGTGCGCTTTTTTGTTGATAAAATGATATGTGCTGCTAACTAATAGTCTGCCATTATAAATTCATGATTATGCAGTGATTTTTATCATTTGATTTGTTTATGTGAAGTTAGAATGCTCGTATTTTTGATCGTCGGTTGGATTATTGAAATTACTTGATCTTATTTAACTGACCCAAGCCACCATATAGGATGATTTGAATGTAGTTTGTTTTCACCGATAACGATGAAATTCAGGACAAACATTCAGTCCCACCTAACTATTAGGCCTGCTCACATTTCCGTAAATCAGTCAGTCAGTCACAACGTAGAACTTTGTACGTACGTACATCCGTTCGAGTTGCCATACTACATTAGCACAGAGATGAAGTTGTCGATTCTAACCCCATAGTGGTAGAAGTAGTAAAAGTATAAGCATTATGTGAAAGATTAGGGTTTGAAGATGTTATCGAAGGAGTATAATACAGTGAAATAAATTTGTAAAGAGAAAAAGATAGAGATATGAGGAATTCAGAAGATTAGAAGTTGTTATAACACAAATAGTGGATGCACCTTCGCCATTGCAAACGATTTAGAGCCATGTCATTCAAGGTCTCTAACCATCGGTTGCTATCATCTCGCGAATCCCAACCAGGTAGTTTATACTTACCAACATGGCTAAGTCCACTTGTCAGTGACTTCATGGATTTATGCCATGTTTTGGTCTGGCCGCCCCTAGCTTTCTTCCAACATACTCCTACACCATGAAACATTGCACGTCGGGGCCATTTCCGTGAATATTACAATTTGAATTTATGTAGAGATTGTAACATTTCCGTAAATATTACAATCTCTACATAAATACAAATGTTGTTATCCATAAAACATACATAGCATCATATACCTGTAAAAATCTAGGCATTAGTTCTTAATGTCAGTGAAAATACTGGTATTTTATAAGATATAGGTAAATCTAACATCAGTTCAGAATATGACAAGACGCATGTCTTATTACTTCGTCATTAGTCGCCAAACAAAGAGTGTAGGTTAATTGTTTTTCTTTTTCAGAACATCTTTAAAACGCATGGGTTTTTATCATATAATTATTATGCTTTGATTATAATTTGGATGAACAGTAGCGTTTCATCGCTTTTCGTAGCTTGATTCCTTTTTCTGATTTATTTCCTCTACTCTACCTTTTCATTAACTGAGGCGACTAATAGTTTGCATGCCATTTTAATGACTCTAATTTGAAAATATGCTTGTTCTAATTAATTAACTGGCATATATTCACACATATTCGTGCTAACATTATTTCTATTAATTTAATTATAGAACTGATTTCCGCCCTACAGTGGATGCCATTCAACAACAACGTTCCGCTCTTCTAGGTTCACTTAGTTCGGATCAAGCGGTTTCTATAACTGATCTGTGCGATAATATTAATGAAAGTGATAAAGTTGGATCTGGTTTATGGTGCTCTAGTTTAAGGAAGAAAAAACATGATCGCATTTCTTTTTCGCCTATTCATGTCCGAAATATATCTGATTCAATCAGAGATAGTCTTCATCAAGGTGTCAGATGCTTTCGTGCATTACTTAATAATCAGGTTTGTTACTATACATCATAATTTTTTTGATGTGGGATTTTAACTAATAGGCTAAGAAAAAAAGGTTTTAGGGTTCAAATTGTTGTTTATTACGGCAGTCTTTTGATCGTTTTTTAATTATAATTCATTTATACATTTTCTTATTTCATCAACATTCAAAATTACTTGACTAAGTTTTACAATTATTCTCTCAAACCAGTTAGATTTCACCGATGATACACTATTACTTAACCTTGAAGAAAGTAGCTACTTGTAAGCCCAATGAAATTATGTTAATGATTTTTGACCAGAGTGTTATTGGAAAGATCTCTATACTTGCGTCGCAGTGTTCATAATTTTTACCCACATAAACCAAATGGAGCAGCTTTATTCACCTTTCTTTTTCTTATTGATTCATTTCGATAGCCATCTCTCTTTAAAGACAAGTATTAACTTTGTCTTGGCGTCAAAACTTGATGTACATTCCTTTTTTGGAACAATATCAAGAAATTGCAAATTATTATTATTAAACTGTGATTCTTAAAGCGGACACTATATTCATACACACTAATGCTCCCCATATATATTTGTTAGGTGATATACTCTGTTTTCGCTGTCTTTGTTCTCTCTATTTATATTCTTAGTAGTCAACACATTCTTTTGACGGATTGAATCAAGTTGCATTTTTGGATGTAAACTATACATTTCTATGCATTATATATATATATATATATATATATCACCGTAATTACTACTTAAAGTAAATTGCCTTTGCTGTATAAATGTGTATTCGTCTTATTTTTCTAGCGTGGTTGTTCAATGGTATTTGAACATCCTCATGCCGTAAATGTTATTGCTCTATGCCTCCTTCATCCAAGCTACCAGTAAGTTTATTTTAATAACTTTAAAAATATTAAATGATCATTTGTTAGGTTAAAATCATTTGCAAATATATTCATTCTATCGATTAGCATCAGATGTCTGCTTATTTCATTAGTATAAAAGTTTAGTCTGTAAATGTTCTTGTAAGTTTTATTACTGTTGCGGTTGACCTAAACTACATTACTCAAATCTAACGCTTGACAAGAATGTGACGAGAATAACTAAGTTTTTAGCTATATTTATCAATGTTATATGATGATAGCTGCGTTCATTCTGGGTAATAGTGTCCATTTGTTTAAGCAAACATGTCCGACGATTCTTTCAACAACTGAAGTTTGTTTGTGATATATTTCAATGATTCTGTTATCGATGACTCATATTTATACAAATATCTGTCGCGCATTTCCATACTGATTTAAAAAGAAACATATAACCAGTGCTATCCGAATAGTCCAGTGATAGTGTCTCTGACTGTGGTACTTTTGGATGCTGATTCGATTTCTATGGATGTGTCAGTTCTCTCGAAATTTCGATAACTCTTCGCCTATGAGTGGCAACTAACGCAGAACGTGAGTTTAGAGATTCTCGATGAACGTCTCCAGTTCCCTAACATCAGAAATAGCTGATTGCCATGCCGAGTCCTTTAGATTAGTAACTCTACTAGGACCTGTTCAACTGCATTCCAATCAAAGTTAAGTAATAAACAAAATGGCATTGTTTACTACTGAGTGATCAATTAGTGATAATCGCAAAGCTTCCTATATTGTAAATGCCAGACGACATTGATACTGGGACTGTAATTGAAGGTCTTGATTGTACAATAATTTATGAAATGTAGAGTGTTCTTTCTAATTCTATAGATTTCTTACGGTATTTGTATATTTATATCAGGTGACAGTTTTGGTGGGGCTTATTTGGCATTAGCTTTGAAAGTTTCCATTTCACCAATCATCACTTCGTTAATAATTAGGCTACATAAATTCCCTCTAAAATCGATTTCACTACTTTGTTAGCTCCTGTGTTTTTTATTGTTTAAACGACAGAGAGTGTTTGTCTTTTCTTTTCCTTTTTTGACAATCATACCGAGCTGCTAATCTCAAATTCTCAAACAAAATCGATGATAATGTATGAGAGTTAACTTGTAGTTGGTCTTTACCGATACTTCTTGTATTAACGATAATAACACTAATAATAATGGTAGGCTTCCATAGACGTTGATTTTTATTCGCGGGTTTTTCTTTTTTTTATAAAAAAAGAATCTTATTGTTATCATCGTTTTGTTTTTATTTTTAGGACAAAAACTTTAGTACTTGAACTTTTAACGGTTGTTTGCCTAATCACCGGTGGACATGAACGTGTATTAAATGCATTTGATAATTTTAAAAAGGAAGTTGGGGAATCTACACGTTTTGAATATTTAATACATTATTTTTTCACACATGAATCTGAATCTTCAGATTATAATATGGATTTTATGGTAAGTGTAAATTGTCATAAATATATTTAATTATCTTATCATTTCTTAATGTGCTGAGTGTTTTAAATTAATTTAGAGGATAGCAAAGATGGATAGTGGATGGCAGTGGAATCCAGGACGCGCGTTTCGTCCTATTTGGGACTCGTCATCCGAATGTACCTGTATCTCAGAGTTGATGTTCACTCTGAGACTCTAACCCAGTACCGTTCGCTTCAAACGCCATCGCCTTATTCACCCAGCTACTGAGTCCTGATAGCCAGTTGTGAAAGGTACTGAGTTTGAGTCTCAGAGTGAACATCAACTCTGAGATGCAGGTACATCCAGCTGACGAGTCCCGAATAGGACAAAACGCCCGTCAAACTGGATTCCACTGCTAGCCACTATCCATCTTCGCTTACAATGTTTGTGAATTAAGGCTATATCGAGGCAATACGCACAGTATGCACATATGGCCAATAAGAGACTGACCAGTTGTAGTCCTAAACATCATTAATGAGAAGATTTAAACAAACAATAGTAAGTGAATTAAATTTAGAGGATATTTTTATATATTTTAATAAACGAGTGCTTAATGATATTTGTGTGTTATTTTTTGTTTGGTATCTTTGCATCAGTCTGGTGTCAAGAATTGAAAAGTTCGATTGTAGTCTAAGAAAATTGTGAAAAATGCACGTACTTATGTAATTTATGAAATTTTTGGGTCAGTTGTCACTTAGTGTCTTGATGGCACATAATAACAGAATTGTCAATAAAATCTTTACTTTTTTCCATGTTGTGCAGCCTTCGTATATTAACTGTCAACACACAATAACCACATTTATTTTTATGGGATTATGGAAGCTTCTTACCGATAGGAATGCTGAACATACTTATCACGTTAATCATAGTTTTTTACAAATATCGAGTTTATGCTTAACTTTATTGTAGAAAACTATCGTTTTTCAACATTCTTATTCAGAGTAATCTAACGGTTATTGGAAGGTAATGTAATATTCTGTGTCATCTCCTATAGGTTTCTGGGGCAATAATGTTTCACCGATATCTTTTGAATCTCCAGTTGTTTGTTTTTTACTATTATTTTTGGAGCGTTTATTTCTATTTAGTTCACTTCATTATATCCTGTTTTCTATTAAGAAATGTAATAACACATTAAGCTTTCATATATCCCATCTGTGTGCCGTTTAATTGACTATATTTTTCTTTCTATCCACAGACTGGTAATAGTTTATATATTTATGTTCCTCTAATAAGATTAATTATTAGTATACATTTGGTTGGCACTAAAATCATTTTGTCAAGATATGAACGTTAGATTATTTTCTCATTTATTCATTCATTATTTAGCTCACTTCTATTGTTACAAATCAATATATACTATAAATATAAACTATGGGATTCTAACTTAGTACTTTATAGGCTAAGCGCCTACTGCAAGACTTAAAAGTCCTGGATTTGATTTTCGATCGAGTAGTAGATGCTCACTGCTAAGAAGTCGCATTCTAAGCCTAAACAATTGTCTAGTTCCTCATGGTTTTCAATGGTTGTTTAACTGTGATTGGTCCGTGATGCAAACTGTAAAGTATAAATAGTCGGGTTTCAGTTCAATAATTCATCATTACGACACCTAAAACGGTGGTAGATGTAACCCTATATGTACAAGTTATACCATCTGTAAAGTCTTTCAAAATATGAAGCTATCTCTTTGAGTTCAACTATCTTTCTCATTGTTATTGAAACTCTCTTGAGGATCGTCGATAATCTCTTGAAAAATTCCCTAAAAGCCAGGAAAACTTTCTGAAATTAACTTTGGTCAATTAGAGATTTTGAAGAAAAGTTTAGATTACTGATTACGCTTTATCTAATTTGTCTATTCAATTACTAAGTGTGTTATTGATTGTTACATCTTTTCTCGGTGCTTTTAACGTCTCAAGGTAGTCCCATAAACACCTTTGTTTTTTTGTAAATGATCTGACCCTTCAAATAAAGCCTCTACATTTCGCCGCCCTCTGTTTTCTGTTAGAGGTTTATTAGTGGTGGAATTTCGGGGATTAAGAGGCGGTTACAAAGTCAGTGTCTAATATATTTAGACCATATGGCTTATCAACATCTAAATTTCCTTCCAGCTATTTATTTTCACATTTAAATCATCGAAGTAATCAAACAGTAGTTCATGCCTTATTCAATCCAAATAACTAATATCAACTAAAATGAAACAAAAGGATTTTCGATTCGAAATGTGTGTAGGCGGGTGTACGTGATTTTATGTGTTTTTGTATGTTTCTAAGGTTTATAAATATGACTCAAACCAATTACATTGAATACTGTTTAGCATATTTAAAAGAAAAAAGATTAGTTTTTTTAAAGATTGTAATTGTATAAAGTTTTAGTTATTATTTTGTTATTCTTTTTGGGCAGTTAATTTATTACTCACCATAGAAAATTTTCAAGCATTATCGTCTAATTAATATTCTATTTGTCTAACTTCATTGGTGCAACTTTGATTCGCACTTTATATACACTATAATGTAAAGTACACATTAATTACATAAAAGGATTTTAGTAGTAAATCCCTTTCATCATATTATAGTTTACACAAATATTTCCATTTGTTTTTCTTTATATCCCTCGAACAATTTCTGATCACAGTAATTATATTACATAAGCTTTCTGCCCCCAAATGCCCTGGTACGGCCGACAGTGGGGAGAGTCCGCTCCCTCTCCAAATGCTCTAACATGGCCACGTGTATATAGCCTCTTTCAGGGAAGTCCTACTCACTACCTTCACGAAATTGAGAGGACGAAAAGCGAATGTCCGGCGCTTGAACCGGGTTGGTGGACACAGAAAGTCCACCTAAGGGAGTTGTAAAACCCTGATTTCAAACCAATGGTTCACATGGACTCCAGGATCCTAATGGCACAAATGGCGTATGAACCAATTGTTGGTCACCGGCTACCATGGGACTGCATCTCCTCACAATGCTCCACTGCCTTATGGGTTAGACCTTTAGGTCAAAGGTTCGGGGTGTGACCCCCCATGAAAACCACCTGGGCACCCGAACAGTATCACAACCCTCACACAGTGTGGCGCATATATATCTGGTGCTCCTTAGTGCCAATATGTATGTGTTTAAATAAATGAAATAAACATAATCTTTCTAATGGATTTCGTTCACAGTAGTTGAAGTTAATTTAGCGATTAAATATTTCTTACGTTTCAAAAACTCTTCTTATTTTTTCATTGTAATTATAATCATATGATGTAGTGGTTCTTTTTAAGGAGGTCATTAATGAACCTCTCATTTAACAGTCTAATCCACTAGACAGTAAAACGATATCGAAAGGTTCATTCACAATGACCAAAGTAGCCCCATATTTTGTTTTTTTCCCCTTAGGATTCTAAAGCCCACGTACATGATTAGTTTGCAATCAGGGTTTTCCAACTGTTAAAAAAATATTTTTCATATTCATTAGTTTAACTTCTTGACATCCGATAACCCATTGCTTATTGTCTGGAAATATGCTATCCATGTAAATGGGGGAGGGTGAGAATTCTCAGAAAGACATTAGAAGCACATGTACATAGCATAGATTTTTTAAGAAAAAGCGGGGACTCAATTGTACATTGACATTTATCATTGTTTTGTTGTACCGTAAATTTTAAATAAACAAAAATCATAGTTATCTATGTAAATAACAAAACTGAGTTTCAAATAATTTTCATATCATGATTCATTGTGTTGGTACCTTCACTCTCATATTTAAATTGTTTACATTTACCACGACGTGCTATACTGACTAGTGTAGGGGATGGTTGGAAGAAATTTAGGGGCGACCAAACCAAAACGTAGCATCTGTGCTTGAAGTCACTAACTTCTAGTCTGAGCCATGTTATTTATTATTTATTTATTTTATTTAAACACATATATATTGGTACAAAAGGGCACCAGGTACATATGCGCCACACAAAATAATGAAAGTAGGAAGAGAAGGGATGAAAAGATAAGGCGGGCTGAAATGTACAACCAGAAGACTCTTTCAGTTAGGAAAGTTAGAACCATTCCTTGTGTAGAAAGTAAAAGAACGTTGCAGCAGGATCGCCACTGGCTTCTATTCTGAGCCATATCTGATAACGTCTCTAGCCACTGTGTTGCACTATCTCTCGGACCCCAACCAGGGAGTCGTGAAGGACCAACAAAAGCTAGCCCTTTGCAGCTCTCTTTCATACCACGACACCATGTCATACACTGACCTCAAGGAAGCCAGCTTGAACGGCGTACGTGGTTTCAGAAAGACTGCCTCAGTATTCATTATCGGTGGAAGCATTCACTTTCAACCAGACAGTGACTGGAGATCGTTTAGATAGGACAGATTTTCCACCATGGGCGAGCTGCTGCATAAGTTGAAAAGTAAGGTTACACAAATTGGGGATAAAAGGGGGTGAGTTAGCGATATGGTAAATAATAATAATAATAATAATAATAATAATAATAATAATAAAGGTGATAATAATAATAATGTTAATTGTCTTGCTTTTAGTATGACCAGGGATATTATCGTCAATAGAGTTCATAATTTCATTCATTTGTGTGTGGGCTGTGATACTGCCCGGGTGCCCAAACCGAAGCAGGTGGTTTTCTTAGGGGACCACACCCCGAGCCTTTGACCTAAAGGTCTGATCCACAAGACAGTGGAGAAAAGTCAGTAGATGCATTCCCATGGTAGCCGGTGACCAACGATTGGTTCATACGCCATTTGTTCCCTCAGGACGCCGGAGCCCATGTGCACCATTGGTTTGGAATCAGGGTTTTCCAACTCCCCTAGGTGGACCCTCCGTGTCCACCAATCCGGTTATAGCGCCGGACATTCGCTTTTCGTCCTCTCACTTTCGTAAACAACACCCCCGCCACGAGAAGGCAGTGAGTAGGACTTCCCTGGGAGGGGCTATATATTCGCTGGCCATGTGAGAGCATTTCGAGAGGGAGAGTAGACTCTCCCCACTGTCGGCCGTACCAGGGCATTTGGGGGTAGATGCAGATGCAGACTACTTGGGTGGGGTCCGCGCGGCTATCTTAACCAATGGTTGGAGACTCTAAGTGACATGGCTCAGGATCGATCACAATGGCGTAGGTGTAAACACTCTTTATCTTCTCTTAAACCTTGAGATTAAAATTGTTTCATAACTTTCCTCCCTCCTATAATATATCCTTATATGCAACCTATCTTTTATATATTACCACCACTAAATTGACTACTTCTATGAATCCTGTGTTCATCTTGTTGTGCTAACGAGGTATGGCAACTTGGACCGATGCATATGTGCGCCTGGTCCTACGTTGTGACCGACTGACTGAATCTATTCATCTAAATCTTTTCCTTTTTCCTAACATTTATTGAAAACAATTGTAAGTAATAAATTCTTTTTGTCACACTGACAGTATTGTAGAGTATTGGATTTGTGATTAAATCACCTGACATTCGATTAACATGTCATAAGTATGAACTCATTTTTCCTTTTAAATAAAATAGAGCAATCAGTTAGATTCATTAGTCTTTGCGTAAACACTTTATTTATTTATTTGAACACATAAATATTGGTACAAGGGGGCACCCAGATATATATGCGCCACACAAATCAAATGAGATTTGTGTGAGGGCTATGATGCTGTCCGGGTGCCCAGACCGAAGCAGGTGGTTTCTTAAGGGGCACACCCGGAGACTCCGACTTAAAGATTTGATCCACAAGGCAGTGGAGCATCATAAGGAGATACAGTCCCATGGTAGCCGATGACCAACGATTGATTCATACGCCATTTGTTCTCTTAGGATACTGGATCCCATGTGCGCTATTGGTTTGGAATCAGGGTTTTACAACTTCCCTAGGTGAACTCTCCTTGTCCACCAACCCGGTTAAAGCCCCGAACATTTGCTTCTCGTCCTCTCAATTTTGTAAACAACACGTGTGGTGCAAGAAGGCAGGAAGTAGGACTTGTGTGGCAGAGGCTATATACACGTGGCCATGTTAGAGCATTTTGAGAGGGAGAGCGGACTCTCCCCACTCTCTGCTGTACCAGGGCACTTGGGGGCAAAATATATTTTAATTTAATCAATTTCTTCATATATAAAATCATATTTTGAAAATATTATTTCTTATTTCATCCCAATTATTTTGATGTAATAATTATTTCTCTCCTTTTTATTTTTCAGGTATCTTGTATGCAGTTTTTCAATATAGTTGTACATTCAACAGATGACATAATGTTAAGAGTGTATTTACAAGAAGAATTTAAACATCTTGGATTAGTTAATTATTTATCGGTATGTGTATATTTTTGTGTGTATTTCACACAGTTCTGCGAAAATTATTGTTTTATTTTACGAGGATGATTTTCATTCACAGTTAAGATCGGTTAATGAAATTCTCTGCCTACAACAAGTTGCTCTTACTTATCGTGGATCATACTATATATTATAAGCATTTTTACAATGATGTGTAATCTGCATGTTGAAGAGCATAGGTGTTTGATTAGGTTAGCGATTGTAGCGCGATAATCCTCTAATATATCTGTTAAATATGATTTTGTGGAGCTTTTGCATTTTTGCTTGCTTGTATAAATTATAACGTACCTGTGTTTCTTTCTACCAGAAGACATAAAATAGGAAAGGTGTGAATTAGTGGGAATTAGTAGAATGAATAAATGTTTACAACTGAATAACCAGAACGATGATAATGTTGATTATGCTCTATCTCTCCCTCTCTTGGGTTTTCACTGTTTTGTCAACTGATATCAGTATGTGATAGAAATGTTTTCGGAAATACAATCTATGTGAGTGACATAGTTCAAAATCAGTATCATTAGGGCAGATACATGTACTCGTTGTTTTCCATTTCATCTTGAGTTCTAAAATTACATTATAAAATTATTTGTTCCTGTTATATCTTGTGGCCTGTGTGCCCTGTTTAATATATGAAATGACGATGCCGCCTATTAGGGAGCAGTGAATTGTCGATCGGACCAATGACACACGAAACCCGTACGTACAGTTTAGAGTACGTATCGGTCCTGCTTTCTGTCTAGCCCAGCCAGTTAAGTCCAGAACACCAATAACAGCCTTTGCAATATGAATCATTTATTTCAAACATACTGGGTTTATATAGTAATCAAACAGACCACATCGTACCATAAAATAGAAAATAACATTTGTGCAAGATTCAGCCGAATGTGGCTGTGAATGTGGGAGGCAGTAATTAATAGACTGGGTATAGCTCAAGAACGGTAAATCGTATAACAATAGTTCATGGGTCAAAATAAAGCTTATAACAAGAGGGGCACGAATATGAATAGTTTAGTCAGTTAATGGTTATACAATAAAAATATATGTATCATATTATTCCATAAATAGTTCTCAAAAGTTACCATTCATAATTCTCTTCGTGACATAACAGTTCCACAAATTCATTTCTCGTCAGTCGGGTTATCTATACTTGACATTTTATATTACCACTGTTACTGTCATTACTTCTGCTAATCTTCGTAATTTTATCTCACTGTACTGATATGATTTGTCGACTTGAACTAATGAACATATATGCTAGATTCTATATTGTTTATAACCGACTATTTGCACAAATGTAGCTGATATTTTGTCAACACTAAACAGAAAACGACCCTCTTACAAAGTTTTGATTGTTTTTTCTTCATTTAATTACACTTGTAAGCACATATTTTATCCATTACTTGTATTTGTAGATAGTTATGTGAATTAAACGACCTTATACAACGATGCATAAAATCAGAGAAACGGCTTTTTCTTAACTCTGTGGCATTTATCTTGGTCTATATTTAGTAAATGCTTCTCTCCAAATCTCTCGAGATTCCATCTTCGTATTTAGTTGCATGTTGGATAGCAAAATAACCAAAAATAGCCAAATTTTCACTACTAAAAGCCGATTGTCTAGTGATGTAGTGAGTGACGTTATTGTCAAAATTCGAAACTTCAACATTATCGATCTGTAAACATTACATTTTTCTACCCTGGTTTCTTTAGTCCTTTTACAGACTTTACACATCTTATAACTCGTGGCCATATGAACTCTTCGGAGTTATTTTTAGTACAAGGTCATGACATTAATTTCTGTTATATAACACTAGGTTATTTGATATTTTTGTAATAATATCCCTTATGCAAATATAAGGTCATGTGTACAGTAAATGGGTTAGAACATTGATATCTTTTGGATATTAGGTTATATTTATTAGCTATGAATATTATAATATTAATTGGAATGTTCATAAAATTAACAGTGAATCTGTCAATGGAGAAATAATTGTGAAAACAAAAAATTCGTACCCTTGTGTAATTTGTATCTTATAATATGTTACTTATCATTAGGATATGGATTTGTACAGCTTACAAATAATTATTGCTTTTATAAAGAAATACTAATTTTATCTACCTTCTGATTAGTTAAGTCCAATAGTAACTGTTACCTTCATGGTGGGTTTTAATGCCAAAATTCTAGATCACAGCCTTTAAGCCTCTACATTGTGATTACATTTGCTGAACATTGAGAGATAATTCATATAACATGTCAACATTAGTCTATCCCTACCGAGTGTTAAGTAAGTTAGTTTAAACAACTGAAGAGTTCAGACTCGGCCTATATAACTCAGTGGTGTGTCATCTATGACTGTCACACTGCATGATGCTAGCTAAAATCCCAAGATAAATTATGTGGTTATTGCTTTCTGTTATTTTCTTCCAACTACTTTAAATGGTCTGGTTAGTTTTTTTTCTTCAATTAGCTCTTTTACTCTGTGATAAATTGACACTTTATCCATCTTTTTATTACAGCGAATATACAATCAATCTGGCGATCGTCTTCTACGTCAAATAGAAGCATATAATGATAATGAAGTAGATGTTGCAGTATTACTAGAAGATTCACAAATGCGTGATATATTACAACAAGAGAAAGAACAAGCAGAATCAGATCTGATCATTTTACAAACTCGTACAGCAACAATTCAAGCAGAATATGAAAATAAATTATTGCAGCTTCAACAAAACATACAAGCTTTGGAAATAAAAAATCAAGATTTGGAGGTAAACATTATATATATGTATACATAGCGTATTCATTGAACAGTGTTTCTAAATAATGAGAATATTGAAATATTATTCAGTACTTATCGTGTTTTCTACCATATTGATGGTTACGAGTGATCTTTAGACGTTTTGAAAATCTAAGAATATATTATCAGGTTCTGCACTTTTCATTTGTCTATTTAGAAGGTTGAATTATCAGGAAAGCTTATTGACAGTCCTATAAAGTTGTCAGTTTATACATTTCATATCAATAATGCACAATATATCCAATTGTATTATGAAACAGTAAAATTATGTTTTACAACATTTCATGAATTGAGATCAATAATGTTTGAGTACTTAATATTCCCATGGTGTCGTGGTATGAAAGAAAGCTGCAAAGGGCTGGCTTCTGTTGGTCCCTCATGACTCTCTGATTGGGGTCCAAGAGATGGTGCAACACAGTGGCTAGAGACGTTATCAGATATAGCTCGGAATAGAAACCAGTGGCGATCCTACTGTAACCTTCTTTTACTTTCTTCATAAAGAGGGATTATAACTTAACTGAAAGAGCCTTCTGGTTGTACATTTCAGTTCCTTCCACCATTACTCTTCTCTTTTGTTTTTTTTTCATTCTATTTTATATATATATATATATATATATATATGCATCTTACGCCTTTCTGTTTCCATTCTCATTGTTTTGTGTGGCGCATATATATCTGGTGCCCCTTTGTACCAATATGTATGTGTTTAAATAAATAAAATAATTAATATTCCATTTATTTATATTCTATCGTTTGCTTAAGACGAACTTGAACTGTTAAGATAGCAAGTTATTAAATAATTCTAAATATCCTCATTATATTCTCTTTTTGTAAAATCTGTCTGTACATATTTTTTTGTAGCTATGTTTGGCAAAAATATTATTAATGATTTTATAATGACCATATGCTCACTAGTGACTGTCTCTATAAAGTATTTCCTGGAGTTCTAGTGAGAAGCAGTAACCAGTGGAGTTCAACCATTTCTGTTGGGAGATATCACTTCACTAAAGACATTGGTGAATGGTTGCTCAATTTCGTAGATCGGTTAAAGTTAGACATTAACACCGTTGGATGCCGGCTCAGTGGTCTAGTGGTTGAGCGCTCGCGTGAGAGACTGATAGGTCCTGTTTTGGAATCTCTCGAGGCGGGATCGTGGATGCGCACTGCTGAGGAGTCTCACAATAGGACGAAACGGCTGTCAAGTAGTGCTTCCAGGTTTTCCATGATGGTCTAACTTCAATTGACTCATGATCTCAACTATATAAAACTAATAAAATCTCCATAAAACCCCCTTCTGAAAATTTTATTTCATAATTTAAGTATTGTCAAATTTTTCTCTTATGTTTTTTTGTTGTTGATTAAATTCAAATCTCTACATACCTTAGTAACATTTTACTTATTATAGACAAATTTATTCAGTTTGTTTTTAATTATTATCCTATTCACTTTCATTTTTACCTGTTTCAAATAAATAAGCTAACTAACTAATACACATAAACGTCTAGAAATAATCTATCAGAGTTTTTTTCATCCTGAATTTCTCTTTTCCCCGTTTTTTTTAAAATTTCTTCAAATTTACAATAGCGCATATATGTACTGTGCATAGATTCGACTTAATTCAATGTATTCTCGCCATATGTATATATGTGTGATTAGTTAGTAGTATTTATTTCCATATATATATATATATATATATATATATATATATATATATATATAGCCAGGAAAGTCCTACTCACTGCCTTCTCACAGTGGCATTACTGTTGTTTACGAAATTGAGAGGATGAAAAGTGAATGTCCGGCGCTTTAACCGGGTTCGTGGACACGGCGAGTCCACCTAGGGGAGTTGGAAAACTCTCATTCCAAACCAATGGTGCACATGGGTTCCAGTATCCTGAGGGGACAAATCGCGTATGAACCAATCGTTGGTCACCGGCTACCATGGGACTGTATCTCCTTATGATGCTCCACTGCCTTGTGGATCAAATCTTTAAGTCGGAGTCTCCGGGTGTGCCCCTTAAGAAACCACCTGCTTCGGTCTGGGCACCCGGACAGCATCATAGCCCTCACACAAATCTCATTTGATTTGTGTGGCGCATATATATCTGGGTGCCCCCTTGTACCAATATTTATGTGTTTAAATCAAAATAAAATAAAATTTATTTCCATATCTCTCTCAATCAGATGATGGATTGATTGATTTTGACCTCTTTATGGTAGACTGTGTAATCTATATTTGTGTCTTTGCATTTTCTATCTTTCTTCCTTCTTTCCGTTTCATTTTGTTTTCCATCTCATTTATTTGATTTTTATCTCAAACTGTTGTTTGTTTAATTTTCAAAGTCTTATATTGTATGACATGGTGTTTTTATTCCATAATGCTGTATAACACACTGAATATAACCGTAAATGTAATAATTAGTCAATGAAATTGTTATTGGTGCGCATATGTCAATTTGACTGTTAAACGTTATTGCTAGAGAATAAATTTATTGGATGATATATGATTATCATTGTTCAAAACACATATGGGTTTGTTTACGTAAAGCTGTATGTTATGAATCATCAATTATTCTTTGTTTTTGTCTTCTTTTTTTCCTTTTACTTTCCCTCCATCTTTTTTCTCTCCAGTTTTTGTACTTCATGTGGACAAGTTACTGTCTACTTTGAAAAAATTTCAAATCAGCTTTAAAAATAATGGGAAATGAACTAAGTATAACCTGGCTATTCGATTATAAGTCTCAGTAGCTGAGTTGTCTGTTTTTTCCACTGTCTCAAGATTATGTTGACCACCGTTATATAACTGATAATGACTTCACTTCTTGTAATTTCTATCCACTACGAAGTAATCCTTTTCCGTAACCTTGACTGTTATTCTGAACCGGAAAGTTGATTGTTTATATATTTCATCCCAAGACAGGGCTGAAGAGTAACTTATAACCGACTATCCACATTGATTTTATGCTTCGCACCATAAAGATTATGAAGAGACGTAGGAGTAGCAATCCTTTCGGTTCGTCCGAAAATGATTAATGTTATCGAACATTGAAAAGTACATCGTGATACTACGATCCAACATTATTTGACGGCAGATAAAGTATCCATATGCCTGTGAAACACATATTCCCCATAGAAAACGCAAGCATTAGAACTGGTCATTGTTTTTTATGAAGACAAGCACCTATAAATGTAAGAAGTCAATGAATCACGTTTTTACATTGGGGAAAACTAGATTTTAACAGCTCTTCATTAGTATTATTATATTTTAATCGATATCCATCGAATTGATTATGAAACCGATATTACATTAATAGCATATAATATAGCTGTTTTTTATCCAGTGATTTTCAATTCACAGTAAGTACTCGAGTATTTGAAACTACACTCGTGGCTGTCAGGACTCAGTGGCCGAGCGGTTAACGCGATGGAGTTTGAAGCGAACGCTACTGGGTTCGAGTCCCATAGTGAACATCAACTCTGGGATGCAAGCACATCCAGCTGACGAGTCCCGAATAGGACAAAACGCGCGTCCCGGATTCCACTGCTAGCCACTATCCATCTTAGCCTACATGCTTGTGAATTAAGGCAATATCGAGGCAATATGCAGATATGCCAATTAGAGACTGACCAGTTGCAGTCCTAACACATCGATGGGAAGATTCGAACAAATAATACTAAATGAATGAGCGATAGATGGTCACAAGTTTTTACTATCGTTGTATTCTCAGCATCTCCTTGTCCGTAACTTTGATTTTACTCGTGAGATACTGGATGAATTGATCATATTTAATCATTTTGCAGCTATAAAATTAATTGGAACTTGTTTTTCTCTTGTGATCAATTATTCATTGGTAATCTTTATTTGTTTTCCCTTGTTATACTTCTATGTATTTCATTGAAATCATGCACCGATTGAAGTTGGACCAATATTGAGAACATGGAAGCTTTGGACGGCCTTTCCGTCCCAACATGGGACTCTTCAGAGGTGCTCACCCACGATCCTACGCATATGATCTTTTGTCACACGCATTAACGCTTGACCTCTAGACCACTCAATATTGGTCTAACTTCAATGGGTTCATGATTCCAAAGAAATTCAACATTCTATAAAGCAACATCATATCCTTTATATGGAGTGGTAGGATCATCTTGTAGTCTTTGTATATTCAGTTTATTTTAACCTTAAACATACGTCTACGCATTCCAGTATATTAATTTCATAAAGCAGGTTAAAAGTCTAGACTAGTTTTTTGTTCTAAATTTATAGTTTTGTTCAATTTAACCATTTTCTAATTCGTTCGTTTCTCGCTTTAGTAATCAATATATATATATATATATATATATATATATATATATATATAAATTAATTGGAACTTGTTTTTCTCTTGTGATATATATATATATATATATTATTACTACTACTATTACCTATTCATTATCATTGTAGAATCAGCGCACTAACCAAGATGGTCAACTGTCTACACTGCGTGCTCAACTATTGGATAAAGACAAAAGCACAACAGAACGTGAGCGTAATTTACAACAACGACTACGTGAACTAGAAGATACTTTGAATACAGTTAAAAATTCACAATCGAAATCACAGATACAAGTGAATGGTATAGTTGATAACTCTATCGAATCGGTAAACACAACAAGTGTTATTACTTCTGGTAATAATGCTCCTCCACCACCACCTCCTCCTCCCCCTCCGCCACCACCCCCGCCACCCCCACCACCATCTGCAAGTGGTATACCGCCACCACCGCCTCCTCCCCCGCCGGGAATGGGTGCAACGGTGTCTGGTGCAGAAGGCCAGTTCTGTTTTGTTTATCGTTATATTATTTTAAATTTTCTAAAAATATTGATGTTTCATTGTTCGCTTTACTTATTTTTCATACTATTTCCGTCCTAATATGGGACTCCTCACTAGTTTGCATCAGCGACCACACACTTGGTAATCGGACCCAGGCTCTTCGGTTTAATGTACAAACACCTGACCTCCAAACCACTGAATCGACAACCAATGGTAATACTAACTAACTTCAACCTATTCACGATATTGTGCAACTTTTATCCATTGCGTGTGATGAATAACTGTCTCACACCTGACAAGAATTGAATCACGCTAGTCACACTAGAACTCCAGGAGTTATAGCTTGAAGCTAGTCGCTAGCGAACACAGAAGTCTAGACATTAGGCGTTCGCACGCGAAGCTGAAAGTCATGGGTTCGATTTCCTCCTAAGATGTCATGGACGCGCACTGCCAAGTGCTCTCATACTGGAACGAAACGGCCGTTTAATTCTTGCACGTATTAATTAGTGGTCTAGCCAAGACCAGATGGTGATTCAAATTTTGAAAACTCGTATCAAGCAAAAACAATGAACTTAGTATAATACTATGTATTTACTTTTGCGGATTCATTTCAGCTATTTACAACGTCAGTCAGTCAGTCAGCTACAACGTAGGATCAGGCACATATATGCAAATTTACAACGTAAAAATAATAGTGCTCAATTTTTTATAAAACAAGATAGTGTACATACTTTTTATCATAATATCAGAAGTTTATTCTTATTTATTTATTTAAACACATGAACATTGGTACAAGGAAGCACCAAATGTATATGTGCCATGCCTCGTCATTCGATTTCTGTGACGTCTGGAATACTTCCTGGTCTCATAAACCGAAGTAGGTAGTTTTCTTCGGGAGGCCACGCCTCGAGCCTTTGACCTAAAGGTCTAATCTACAAGGGGATGGAGCAACGTAAGGAGATGCAGTCCCATGGTGGCCAGTGACCAACAACACGTTCATGCTCCATTTGTCCCCTTAGGATCCTGGAGCCCATGTGCACCATTGGTTTGGAATCAGGATTTTGTAACTCTCATAGATGAATCCTCCGAAACCCACCAGAAAATGGTCTTATCAATAAAAACTGTTAGATCTGGAAAAATTATAAAATATTCACTTATGGTTGGATATCTATATCATAGAAAATGTGAATATTCTTGAAGAAAAGTCAAGCATACATGTTGCTAAAAAATTAACGATAAAAGTTATGTAACGTCAACTGAATAAAACAGTTTATTATAAGACTGAAATAATTGGAGTTCAGATAGAATCTACGAAAGAACAAATAAGTCGAATTTGTAATTATCATCACAAAATAAGGTTTTACGAAACTAATTTTCAGTCATCAGGACAATGCAAGACTGACAACAGCATCCTTTTGAATAAATAAATTCAGTTTGAGCCTTTTAATAACAATGATCTCAGCAACACTTAGTGTTTCTGAAGTCGTTTATATGATTTTGAAATGTCACGATTATCCACTATCAAATAAATGACGAGCGTTTGCGCTGCCGGTCGGTATAAATGGATGGTGAAGCATAAAAGTAGGAGTGATCAATCTGTAATTGAGTGACAGTTACTTTTCACTTTAATAACTAATGAGTTATATTCTGTTTAAAATATATGGCGCGTATGTTTCTTTTAGTCTTTCATCGTTTTCTAATTCTCCATTTATTCTTTCATAATTAATATAGGTGTTTCCATACGGCCACCCATACAAACTCGATACAAATTACCGTTAGTTAATTGGGTCCTGTTGAAAAATCAACAACTTCGTGGTACGATATTTGTCGGCATGAATGATGAAGCCGTTTTGGATGCATTGGATACTGAGAAATTTGAAAATCTGTTCAAATTGTCTAATCAGTCAGTGAATAATAGTAATAAATCGAGTATAAATAATCTAGCCAATGGATTAGATCAGAAAGACAGTCGAATAAGTAAAAAAATTGAGAAAAAATCTTTGATGGATCCAAATAGACATCGGTATGTGTTCTTGTGCTTCACCTGTTTTCATTGTTCATTTAACTAGCTTTATAATAATAATAATTATTATTATTATCATTATTATTATTAGCTAATCTATATAGTTGTCACTTATGTCATGTATGTCACACTTATCTACTAATGAAATTGGAAGATGTTTCCGTTTTATCGCGGATTGGTTGAAGTTAATCTTGTAACACATTGGTCGCCGGTTCAATAGTCTACAGGTTAATTGACTTCTTCAGAACCTGTAGATCCTAGGTTTGATCCCTGCTATAGTCATGGATGCAGACCTCTAAGAAGCCAAATATTAGGATAAAACAGTTGTTCAACGCTTCTTGGTTTTCAATGGTTATCTGACTAAGAATCAGTCCGCTATGTAAACTATGTAGTAATGACTCTGTTAACTATGTTTCGGAATACAATGGAGACATTTCTTATGATCATAGGCTTCAGTTAATATAAAAAAAATAATGTTAGTCAGCACTCATACTAGTAGTGCTAGGAGCCCATCCTTCTTTTATCTACTACATTATTGAAAATTATTAGATGAACAATATATTTTTCGCTCATTTTTGTAATTTTCGGTTTTACCCGAGAGATATAAAATTGGTCTCACTTATGAAATGTTTTACAGCATCCCTGTTGTAAAAAGTCATTAATTAATTAAAGTCATTAACCTTGTGTTCGAATTTATTACGCATAGTGGAGCTAGAAATTGAATGTACAATGCATGAGGGTTAGGTGATGAATACTAGGAAAAAATAGTAAAATGGTTGTTAACATTTTGAACCTTCATCCTATGAGGTGGTATTCATTAGAAAAAGAAAAATGTTCTGACTGATTTCCATTTCCTTCAAAATATGTAATGGTGTGGTACGGGAGTTCCATACTTGGCGACATATTTATTGGTGAGATCTTTATAGACTTACAGAGGATTCGGTCAATTTGTAACACGTGTTCTGTGTCCCCTTAATTATATTAGATCCGTATTATGTTCATTGGTATATTTATGTTCTGTTTTTACTTATTTCTTTCACCGGCGCTCGAGTTCTGATTGTGGGATCATATCTTATTTAGACTTTATGCATGTTTGAATCAATTTTTGAGTAACCATCTAATTCATGGTATAACAATAATAATTACCTGCAGTGCGGAATAAACTACGCTACTTAGATTTGATTATATTTTTTGGAAAAATACTAATTTCGGTTTTTCACTAAACACTAATCAGCATTATATACAGCTAAAGTAAGTTTGGTAGCTTAATAGTTACAATATTCAGATTTCTATCGTCGATTTCTCATTTCTTTCGTATCTTGATGAGATATCATGCTTTCCAGTCTATCTGTGGCACTTGTTCTTCCTTCCAAATCTTCCTGAATATAGTGTGAAGCATGTTTGCAGCTACTTCTATGTCTGACTTTATTGCTTCGGTTGGTATATCGTCAGGTCCTGTTGCTTTCCTACTCTTGATTTGTCTGATGGCCATCTTGATTTCCTCGGTCGTTGGTGGAGTGACAGATATAGAAAAGTCTGTAGATGCTGCCCCGATGTCCGGTGGATTCAATAGGGCTGGTCTATTCAGCTGTCTCATATTTCCTCCTCTTTCATTTTCCACTGCCGTTGCTGGTTCTTTCATGCATCTCTGCTTGTCGGCTCCAATGCTCCTCTTCACCTGCTCTTTTGCGTCTGTGTATTCAGCTTGTGGTTGACTTTCTTTGTCCTTGTTCGACTGTTGTTAATTCTGTCTTCTTGTTCTTCCTTTCTTGGTTCTTGCCTAGGGTTTCTATAGTGATCCATTCCTCAAGGTGATGCTTGTTGAGGCCATGCATCCCCTGACACCTTGATGTTGGTGCTTCTTTGATCCTTTTCCAGTTTTTTTCCATAGTAGTTTCTTGTTTTTTCAATAGATCTTGTAAGGCTTGCAACCTGTTGTTGAGAGTTATCTGGAATTCTTTGAGCATGTCAGTATCTCGGAGGAAGGCTGCATTGAACCTTTGTAATGCTGTTTGTCCATTTGTCGAGTGTTTCTTTAGCTTCAGTCTCATCTTGGCCACAACCCGGTCGTGATCTGAAGCTATGCCAGCTGCTCTCCTGGTTCCCACATCTTACATTGTCCTTCGGAATTTTTTGTTGATACAAATATGATCTATCTGGTTCTTTGTGGTGTGGTCCAGCAACATCCATGTAGCTTTGTGTATGCGTTTGTGTGGAAATATTGTGCCTCCTATAACCAATTTGTTGAATGCACATAGATTTGCAAATCTCTCCCCATTTTCATTTCTCTCTCCCTGTCAGTCCATGTCGTCCAACTATATCTTCATACCTGATGTTGTCCATTCGGACTCTGGTGTTTAGGTCTGCCTTCAGGATGGTGAGGTCCTTTCGTGAGCACTTAGCTATTATTCATTACAGCCTTTCATAATACTGATCTTTATCGTCGTCGTTGCTATCATTGGTGGGTGCATAACATTGGATAACATTCATTGTGATCCCCTCCTTCTTTGTATTGAATGATGCTTTGATTATCCTGAGTCCATGAGATTCCTATCCTACAAGTGCATTTTGTGCTTCCATGGACAGCATTAGAGTAACTCCCTGAGTGTGTGGAACATTTTCCTCTTCGTGACCGGAGTACAGCAGTATATCTCCCGTATCCAGCCTTTGTTGTCCAGCTTGGGTCCAATAGGTTTCTCTGACTCCGAGTACTGCCAATTTGTATCTTCTTATTTCCATTGCTATTTGACTGATCTTCCTGGTCTCCCATACTGTGTGGATGTTCCATGTACCCATATTAATAGTTGCTCTGGTTGTTAGACGGGGCATTGATGTCGTGACTTCCCAAGTATCTCGGTTTTCACCACGAGACGTCATAATTCTTCTGAAAGTAAATCTTACAGGTCCCATGATAAAGTTTAAATGGTTTAGATTGTTTATTCTGGTTAGCGTTGTTTTTAGCAAGGTTGCTTTTTATGGGATTGAATTGATGACCACATCCCCAGTTCACTTCGATTTCCTGTAGCTTATCGGTTAAGTTTATTATGTAATAACCTAAAAACTTTAATGTATGGAATCTCATTCATTTAAAGTCTCTTTATTTCCTAAAATCTACACTAAATAGGAGGGCAGCTAACTGATAAATTTGTCAGATCATTCCATGAGGATATTACTGTAACCAAGCGTTATACGATAAATGCAGACTGCCTTGTTAGTGAAGCCGATGGTTGTAGACCGTGAATAGCATCGCTCAGAATCACCCTCTTTAAGACAGATATATACTTTTACTTACTTCATGTCTACCCACTTTCGTGCAGAAGATAACTTGTCTCATATAGAATAAGACCTTAACGCGATAGGCCGACTGGCTTAACCTTGAGGCTAGTATGCGTTAATTCAGAAGTGAGATCAACTGCTTGGGGTAGAGAGACAAAAACCATCTTATCACTTGATTGGCTGAAGCAAGCACGCACAAGAGAGAAGACAAGTCAACTGGAACACTATTTGATTTATTCCCGATTCCAGATTAGTGTAAAAAGATACATGAAGAAATAAATGACTAACCTGACCACAACGCATGCCAGCCTCAAGGTTAAGCCAGTCGGTCTATCGCGTCAAGGTCTTAATCTACATTAAACAAGTTATCCTGTTCATGAAAATGTGTAGAGATTTCGAGGACGTCACATTCTGGATCATAGATTAGTGTAAAAAGATGTACGAAGAAATAGATGACAAACCTGACCACAACGTTCAACAATTTGAAAAGTACAATTATGTCGAAAACTAAGGATCAGAGTAGAAAATACTGCACAAATGATTACATTTAATTTGTCATAGCCTTGGTAGAGAAAAGGCTATGACAGTGAATCATACATCAAACGAAAGCTTATGATCTGTAGAATGGACTAGGGACAAAGTGAATGTCACTATTTTACTTGGTTTGAATTAAGTGAAATAACGTTCTTAAAAGTAGCTTCCATAGGTTATCAAGGCTTCTTGTTTCTCTGTTCACATCACATTCACTTTTTATCTGCGATTACATCTTGAGTTCAAAAGTTATCTTATTTTATCTTCTGTTTCACGAATTGATTCCTCCACGTGGTATAATAATCTATATGTAACATTTTATGTTTTTACTGCTACTTTCATTACTTTTACTGATATCATATTCGCCTTGATAGTTTCATCTCGCTGTACTGATATGATCTGTCGTTGCAAATCCTTGTTCTACTTTGCCTAATAGTGACTGACTAATTGTTGCAAAGTTTTGACATATTTACGATATAAACCGAGCCACGAAAACCAATTCTTTAAGTTTATGGGGTAAAAAAACGTAGTAAAATTTTCAATTTAGGTTTTATCTATTCACAGTTAATATTGGTGCATACTACTTTTTATACGTAAACAATCGTTTTAAGTACATACAATATATATGAATACTATGGATTTGCGTGTTTGTTAAAAGGACATTATTGTGGTGTAATGTTTTGGTCAAATAGTGCTCCATCGATCTATTATTATAATATTACTATTATTTACTCGTATATATGTGCATTGTGATACTATAATTTCAGCGTCAAATTTATTAGTATTACATACAAACAGGATATATACATAATAAATTATTAATAATAATAATTGTACTATCCATTATGTGACCGTCATAAATGTTTTCCATGATTTAGTGAAATTGTATCAATTAAAGTTACAACTGATTCAGTCATAAGAAAAACTTTTTTTGGAAAAAGTGTTCCTATTTAACTATGTTTATTGAATTCCATTGTGTATTACTAGCTTAATGTATTGTAATTAAAATGTATTTCATTTCGGTTTTACAATTCATAGACTGATGTATCATGAGCTACCTAATTATTGGATAATTGGTTCTGCTGTGTTTCATTCTGGAACTATATATGGTTTTAACAGTTTCGTACTCAACTTTTCTTATATTAAATTGAAATGTGAATCTGTTATTACTGACATTTAATCTTAGAATATGGTTAAGGATTTGGACTTTCAAGATTTTTCAAACTGATATGAAATAGTAAGCAAAGATGGACAGTGGCTAGCGGTGGAATCAAGTACGCGCGTTTCGTCCTATTCGGGACTCGTCAGTCGAATGTACCTACATCTCAGAGTTGATGTCCACTCTGAGACTCGGACCCAGTACCTTTCGCTTCAAACGCCATCGTGTTATCTACTCAGCTACTGAGTCCTAGATTCTACTGCTAGTCACTATCCATCTTTGCTTATAATGCTTGTGAATTAAGGCTATATCGAGGCAATACACACAGTATGCACATATGCCAATTAGAGACTGACCAGTTACTGTCTTAAGCATCAATGGGAAGATTCAAACAAACAATACGAAGTGAATTTGAAATAAAATATTTGTTTTCAAATGCTTCTCTAATGACTTCTCTCATTCCTCTGACTATCTGGACACTGAATCTATCGTAATATTTTTTGTGCTATTTTATAAATGCGTTAGTTTTAAAGAAACACAAAGAATTATAAAATTCTGACTCAGCAGTTGACTATTTGTATGCAATACACCAGTATAAAGTTTGGTACAAAAACTCGTTCCCTTTTTTCTATAAAACTTAACGATTTCATTAATGATTGGAAATATTTGGCACTTTGTGTTATGTTGTTGATCAACAATAAGCATGTTACTTGTTGATAGTGTCATTTGTTGCTAATTGTTTATGTAGAAACAATTAAAAACCGGAGAGATTTTGTCGAATTTGTGAATCTGTTGCCATTGACAACCGCTGCCATCCTACTTTCATCGTAATTATAAATTCACATATCCCAGGTTTATATATAGTGTACAACCAACAGTCTCAGTGACTCAAGATCACATTTATTAGTATGCATTATACTCTGTTCTGTAATGTCCAAATGGTTCAAATGGTTGAGGACGGAATAGAAGAAACTTTCGCTTAACGGGCTTCCGTGTCTAATAGCAGTGGATTACCAATACCTCCAGGCAAGAACCTAGGTATATTAAATATAATAGAGGAAAAAAAGAATTTGGTAAATCATAATAATATGTCCTTAAGAATAAGTCAAGTTTCCTATTAAAGGACTTCAGGGAAGTCGCTTGGACTATCTCAGTTGACAGCGAATTCCAGCATTTGACAACTCTTACGAAGTAGAATCTTTTTCAGTAATTCATACTGAAACTCTTATAATTATTTGTGATATATTTCCACTTATCATTGAATTGTTAGGTAATTAATAACGATTTCTTATTTTGTACTAAAACTTTTTTAATTAAAATTAGTGTTTCAAAAGTTCAACTGTCTAATTGTTCTCGTAACTAAGGTTATTTTTTTTATTATGAGCTATGGAAATAATGTTTATTATCTCAGGTTTAGTGAAACGTGAGTTTCTTTCTATCAACAACCAATACCTTTTTGATATGAAAACTATTATATAATACAATATAGAGTTAAAGATGGATAGTGGCTAGCAATGGAATCCAGGACGCGCATTTCGTTCTACTTGGGACTCGTCAGCTGGATGTACCTGCATCTCGGAGTTCATGTTCAGAAACTCGAACCCAATACCTTTCGCTTCAAACGCCATCGCGTTATCCACTCGGCCACTTAGAGTTGTTATACCAATCGTTTATTTTCTTCTCTTATTAGCTCAGTCATAGTAAATGTGAAAGCTAACACTAGTTTATGTCACTATTCGCATCAGTGCATCTTATTTGTTTATTTGACATTAACATATGTCATAAATATTACTTCAACGCGTGTAGTTTACTGTTATTATGTTGAATTTGGCAGCTATAATTGATATGTCTTTTGTATAAACTTTCAAACATGGTTCCCATGTATATTTTAAGAGTTAATATATATGGTTAGTCATTGAAAATTGTACTCTTGACCGTCTATGGTAAACAGATTATGTATATGTTCAGGCTTTTCTTCTTGTGTGTAACGTAACCTTGTTTATATAAACCAATGATTATGAACAAAATCTACTGAATTTTGTCTCAGTAATATCAATAGTCAACTCATTGCTTTTTCCTTAGGATGTAGAACATTGATTTGTTGGTAAGTTATCCTTTGTTTTTACACACTATCATCAGTAAAGTTCTTGTCATGTATTGATCAGTAGTGTTTTTGTTTTAATGCACCAACATTTAAGTTTAGTGGAATCTCTTTCATACAGTTTTTTCTGATTAAAAAATATGTGATATTGCCGTACAGTGGTAGATTTTGTGTCACAAATATCACAATATTCAGGTATGTAAAACGATCTGTATACTAGACCACTAAGTTGAATCGACCACCAAGTTAATTCGCTTTTTTTTAAGCAATTCTCGATTCAATTATACTACTAATAACACCACTCATATCTATGTCCACTTTTTTTTGTTTCATTTCAGTTGTATCGGTGTTTTATTACGTTATTTAGAATCTGAAAAATATACACCAGAACGTTTATGGAATGATATTAATCGTTTAGAACTAGGTCAAGATGTAACAGATCGTATTTATCATCAATTGCCAACATCTGATGAAGTGAAAACTTATTTAAATTATGAATTCACTGAACAACGATCTATTGATGATTTAACGGATGAAGATCGTCTTTTATTACATTTATGCAAAGTTGAACGTTTAGGACCTAGATTAGAAATTATTTTATTCATGAATTCATTTGAAGATAATTTGAATGTAGTGAATTCGGTAAGCAATTTATGTCTTTAGATATGATATTGTAATGTCTAGTACTATGTTAAGCCACAAAAATATACTTAGTATCTAAAGCAATAAATTTAAAAGTAATGTGCGGAACTTGACTACGGTTTCATCACTTTGTTTATATAAATTGAAGAGTTTAATGGTATAAAATGCATTTGTCTGAATCCACTTTTGATTATTTGACCTCTGCCCAACCGTATCTGCTACCTTGATGTGGTGGTCGAACTTGCTTATCGTGATGACCCAATCGAGCTTTATTGGCTGGAACATATGTTCCTGTAAGTTCTGCCATGCCATGCAGGTCGATTGGAGAACGGTATGACTAAAAGCAGCAACTCAAGGTCTGAGGGCGAAGTCGTACGACTGGCTGTAGAGGGGTGTGACAGCAGTAAGTTATTTCCCTCGGACAACCAGCATCTGCAGTAATGCTGCCTTTTGACAAAGAAGGAGGTGGTTAGAAAAGGTCGACTCTAAAAATGTCACGCTTCACCCTACCTCACGGATGTGTGCTGCGTTTCCGAAACGCGCATACAAGATCCGAGTAGCGTCATTCAATTTACGTCACCATGTCAAAATAAAGAACCATCTCGATTCACGCTTCGTGTATTTTGAAGCTCTGATGCTGCTTCCTGTGGCGTAGGTATAGCATTGAGCCCTAGGGCAGAACTAGCTCTTTTGGACTGGATGTCAGTAGACAGTTGTCTGTGCGCTGTCCGACTAAACGGAACAGTAAGGACTCATGAAGATAGGGACACTCGTCATATATATATATATATATATATATATATATATATATCATCCAGAGAAATGTTTGTTGACTTTGATAATACTGATTTCATTGTTGTATCATTTGATGTCATACAGTTTGATCAAATAATATTTATTCTAGTGACAAACATCGTAATTTCAATATGTACTTTATTCTACTGAATTTGAAATTATTCCTACGCAACTAATCAGACAATGTATTTAAGCCCACTTTTAGTTGTGCACAGTGGAAAAAAAATCATAAGTTTCACATAAAACTAGATTGTTATATGGCTGTTAATAGTCATATGGATTATGCTCAGTATGGATCATGTTATAAAATTATTCATTTCAAATATTGTGACTTTGATTTCAAGTAATTAAATGGTAGGATTTAGTCTTGTAAGGGTGTTTGTCTTAATAATGAAATGTATGATTATAAATTATTCGTTACGTCGACTCCTTAAACTAAACCTTATATTGTAGACAATTTTTTTTAATCACGTTATTATATTCTGTGCGCTATGTCGCCTACGTCAATACATGTTTAGTAAAAACGTGTACTTGTTTGCGTATTGATCTATTATCATTGATCATGATTACATAATCATTTTCAACTAAACAGTATACTGTCTGTTCACGGATCAAGTTGATTTCCAGTAATTGATGCTTATTCGTTGGCTTTAATTTAGATTTGACCTTTAGGTCGAAGGCTTGCGGTGTGGCCCCCTAAGGAACCACCTGCTTTGGTTTGGGAGCCCGGGCAACATCATAGTCCACACGCAAATCAAGTGACTTGTGTGGCGCATATGTATTCGGTACCCTTTTTTATCAACATTTGTATGTTCAAATAAATGCAACATGTTGATTCGGCGTTTGTTGTTTCGAAGTTGTGAAGTTTATATGTGCACTATGAGGTGCTGACCTGGATTTAAAACTCTTGTCGGCTGATACTGCGTATCTATACATCCAATTTCTTCATTAAGGCTTCAATTCGTCCTTATTTTCGCCATACGACACTAATTGGTGATACTTTTTTAGAACGAAACTTGTAAGGTGTTGTTCAGTTGTAAGAAAAAGAAACTAAGCTTGTCCTTTTGTCATATACTTTTGTGAATAGAAGGCTAGTTTTATCTAGAGCATAGAAGCAATACTCTACCTATGGATGTAATTCCCTTTTCTTGGAAAATAATTATCATTAAATGACCGCTTATATTACAATCGAAAACATATAACTATTGTTGTTTCCTTGTTTATGAACCTATTTCGAAAGCATCTTTACTAAGAATCCTGCAAAATATCTCACGTTTCTGTGTGATGTATCTTATCCACTAGAGACAATGAAGTTAAAATAAAATTCTCAGTGTCTATCTTCAAAGGATGGCTTTCCAACTTTGGATGCTCCTGTCTTTATTTTATAAATATCATTTTATATTTTGTCGACAAATTTAACTTATAGTCTTATCCTTTTTTGCTTTAAATGTTTCACACTGTCTCTGTCAGAATTTTTTTAATTTAAGAGAAAAAAAATGTTCACATTGCCTGACTTTATTCCGTTTTAAAAGATTAACATTAAAATATGACTCACTATACTTGGTTTCAATAATCATTTACTTAATAAATATAGATGAACAGATTTTAGTTTTGGTAAGCAAAGATGGATACTGGCTAACAGTGGAATCCAGGACGCGCGTTTCGTCCTATTTTGGACTCGTCAACTGGATGTACCTACATCTCAGAGTTGATGTTCACTCTGGGACTCAAACTCATTACCGTTCGCTTCAAACGCCATCGTGTTATCTACTCAGCTACTGAGTCCTGATAGCCACTTGCTTGTGCAATGGGGTGAAGTTTAAATTTACTTAGTATTGTGTGAAAAACTTTGTCAATTTCATGAGTGCACGACGGAATAGAAAATGAGTAGTAAAAAGGAGTTCAATGCACTATAATCTTTTGATGTTTACTCTACTTACATCATACTTACCCTCTCCCATATATATATATATATATATATATATATATATATATATATAATACTGAATGGTTTGCTCTGTTTTATTGATATTGTTTTATCAGAAAATTATCGCTGTAAGATCAGCTTCGTTAGCATTGAAGAACAGTTGTAAATTTAGAGCTATCTTGGAAATTATATTAGCTTTTGGCAATTATATGAATAGTTCCAGACGTGGTATTGCCTATGGTTTTCGTTTGCAGAGTTTAGATGCTGTAAGTTTCCATTTCTTCTTTTTCTACCTATTTTGTTGAATTATGTCACTTTTTTTGTTTTTTATTATTTGGGAAATTGTTGAATGTTGTTTGTTTAAGCTATATTGGTGTTGGGGCATTAACTAAGATCAGTGGTTGGTGATGTTGGTTTACATGATTTATAATCGGTTATAATGACATAAATACGTTTATTCTTTCTGTTCTGACCACATGAATGTTTAAATTTTGTCATAATCATTGCTATCATATAAGTTAATCTCTTTGTTAATTTCATTTGTTAAAATATGGTATGACATTTTGACCTAACTCTTATTTGTGTTAGAATGTGCGTTAATTATAAATAGCCGATTTACATTACTCAGACCTTTTCAACGTTGGTTGTGTTTCACATGATGGGATGACTTTGTATTTCATTATTTAAGTTATCAGTTCCTATTTATTTCTTTGAAATGACATGATTTTAGTGAATTCCTTTTTTGTATTGCTGGTTACACATCATTGTCCCAATAATAAAAGACAATTTATTAGCCATCACTTAATAATTCGTAGACCAAACTACTCTAGATTCATGTAAACTAAGTTGGAAATCCATACTCGTAAACTTCTCGTTTAATTAAGCACAGAATACTCTAAACATAGTCAATGGTCATCTTTCTCCCTGCATCATAACTATTGAATACTGACTACTTACGCGACCTATTCATATAAATGATCTTGTTTTTTTGTAATAACTTAAACTGCTTATTAATTTGGCAAGTTGTAAATTTTCTGTTTTCATTTTGTAACAATGAATTAAAAATATGGTTATTGTTTCTGCATTATTAATACAAATGATAGCTTTGAAAGGCATAAAGTAAATCTCTATGAGGGATTTTCTTGATCGGTTCATCAATATCTAGGAATAGTAAGTGTTGTATATTTAGTGGACTGCCATCGAACGTACTTTCTTGTTCGAACAAGATTAAACGAGTAATTGAAATTGTGAAGCTTTTAAAGCTATTCTCTGGGTAACCTATATATTATGAAATAATTGGTGGATGGTATTGCTACATTTTCGTGGTTGTAAGCTTTCAATCGATTGATTAAATGTTGTTACACCTTTTCTCGTTCATAAACTACGGTTATTCATTTATTAACATGTGACTCGGATTTGTACCATAAATTTCTTAGTAGTGTACATATTAAATATACTGCATCAATACCTTTCATTTTATATATAAAATCAAGAGAGTTTTGAAATAATACCTAATACTTCGGTGGTCTTTCCGTAGCTGTAATTAATCGATTTCAAAAATGTGGTAGTATTGCTTAGGTTTGTTAGTAAATTTATTATAGGCAGGCGTAAGAGATTCAGTAATATTTTATGATCAATGTAGTTTTCTCTAGAAGCACATATATGTTATACCTCTCAAGATAAAATTTAGACTCACTGTACGTCGTAGAAAATACACTAGAAAACTGATAATCCTTCATCTTGTCTTCTATTAGCTAAATTTTGTTTGGTGGTGTATAATACGGAAAATAGAATGAAACATTGAATTCCATCCTCTATCGTCTCAGTAAAGACATTTGTTCATGTATTACACCAAATTTGAATCTTCACTTTGGCTACATAGGTTCTCAGCGTAATAAAAGTTGTTATGCGTACCGTGTAGGTTGATGAAAAACTGACATGGAATTATTCCGACCCATGAAGGAAATGATAGGAAATTAACTCAGTCAATGAAATTGCTCACAATGAATCAGTGTTTATAATTGTTTATCAAGTACTCTAAACTGAATGTCCTGTTCTATTGTAAAAAAATTGACAGTTATTTTGCGTAAGTCAATATCGTTCACACACGTGGATATAATCTCATCCACCAATTCTGGTGTGTTATTCGATTGTTACTAGGTTAGTATTTATTGGAGTGTTACTCACTGCATACGTTCACTGATTTTCTTTACTTTTTTTCCCTTCGTTTTACGTTTTTCTCAAGAACATTTGAGGTGAAATAAACAAAACTGATTGTTGATGTTTTTTTTTCTTATATTAAAATAATGGTGTAAAAGACACTTTATCGCTGAAGTTATCATGGATCATATCGGAGACGTGTCACAAATGGTATATCTATGTATCATAAATGTATTTTCAGTATACTTCTCTTTAAAAGAGAGATGATAGAAGTGTTCAGAGAATACTTCGATATCGCATTACTTTGTTTGAATTTCAAGTTACTTTTTTATAAAACGAAAAGTATTTAGTCTCCAAACAAAATAGATAGAACGTTGAAGATCATCAAAATGTGTCTGTATGCAAAAACGTTTGTAGACTAAATATATCGAGTGTTACATTCATAAAGTGATTACCAATTTTGTTAGGAAAACAGATGTGTTCGTTCTATCAATTCTTGAAAAAAAAGTAAATTTTTTAGAACGGCCAAACAAGAAGATTAAGAGCTCTCAATATCAAAATCACACCATCTATCTAATGGTTCAGTATAATTATAGATAACTTACTCATGATAAATCATATTCAACTATGTCTCGTGAACCCTACCACATCATAGTCATTTTATGGAAGTTTCCTTCATGATTTTCAGCATTTTTTGTTTCATTCTTATAAATACCCACATTTTTGAAGCTGTTCATCTAAAAGTTCACTTCTAGTGATTATTGTATTCCTTTTTAATTAAATCGAATTCCATCATGTTTATTATACTAAGCATCAAATTTATACTCTATTTTCGTCTTGCTGTTTTACATATGCACTTTGAGTTGTTTTCTTTTTTGGTTGTAAACACTCTGCAAAAGCATATGAGCTTACTGCATTTCGGTCAATTTTTTTTAACTAAACAGTCATAGCTTGACAGTAAGTCGTCTTGATTAATTTTGTACAGATACTATAACACGTAGAAGTCAGTTTTTAATTATATATATAATTGAATACTCATCTCCTAATTTAGCTCCAGTTTGGAGAACTTAATTATCAGGCCCATATGTTGTAATAGACTTCGATCAACCCTCTCCGTGTATGGGTAAGGAAAGATATTATACGATTTGTGGTATAGGGTTTTTCAATATTTAGCTAATATCAAATCGTGGTGTAAATTTATTCAACCATTTGCAACATCAAACTCAACGTATATATGAATAAATGTGTAATGTTCATTTCCTTTAGTTTTTAATTTATCTTTTTCCAGTTATCCGACACACGGACTTTGGACAAATCATGGACTCTTCTTCATTTCATAGTTGAAACAATTGAAACCCAATTTCCTGCCTTAGTTAATTTTGACGATGAATTGACTGGTGTTGTAGAAGCTGCAAAGGGTTAGTTGTATTTTATCGAGTATAGTAAACTAGAGAGTTTATATATCTCGATTCTTTTATTTTAACTAAAACCATTACATCGTGGTCTGTTAATCTTTACTTACTTGTACATCATATTAAGTATTTATAATACATTCTGAATCCATCATTTGTTACGTCAACTTAACTGTTGTCTATTTACGAAACTGAAAATTAATTATTTGATTACATCACTTAAAGGAGAATTGATTGAAGTGTCACTAAATGGTCACAGTCTTATCATTTTCCCCCTCTGTTTAAATTCTTTATTATTATTTTAGAATCTGTTCTCATTTTATTTTTACATATGCTTATTCTGTCACACTCACTACATTTCCCAATTTTAACACTGTTCTTGTTAGAAATAAATAGTTTAGACGAGTAATCAACCAGCAAAATGACCTAGGTCCACAGTTTCCTTTCGACTACCTCCAACTTTCTACCACTTCAACATAGTTCACCCTTAGTCGGGTCACAGATACTACTGGCCAAATTGCAACTTCATCGATATAAATCGAATAATACGAAGAAATATGTAAAAATGACATTGGTCATTATTCAGTGATCAGTCGACATAAACGGTTTGGGAGAGTTAGTTAACTTGTACGATGTTTACGAAGAATTTTCAAATACTTATACCTTTTAATTCTTCTTTTTATCGAATTGACTGAACTTAGATACAGTTGCTGATAACTAGTTTTATCTTATATGATTCTATAGAATTAATATGTATTGTTACTATGGTTAAACATAATAATTTGAGAATTGGATAGAATATTATTCATGAAATAATGGTATATCCTAAACTTTCCAAAGTACTCCACAGAAGTGGCTTACACTAAGTCGCCAAATGTTAAAAATTGTAATTCCTACTTATTAGCATATTACAAATATATCATTATCTTATCATTAATAGCAGAGTTTAGTCACCCTGTGTGTATTTATAACATTTTTTGTTCGTTTTTTTTTTTTTTTCGTTGTTAGATTTTATAACTATCGTGTTTTTAGACTCTTAAAAGGTTTCCATTACATCATATTATTACTTCTAAGTATCAAATACTATAATTTACCTCCTACTATGCACTACTCCATATCACATATGTGATATTTGATGAATGCTCTTCATATTGTAATCAAATCAACAAATATTATAGTACTGTAATCATTCAACTATGGATTGATTGAGTTACGCACAGTCTGCATCCTATTATCATGTTTTTACTTATATACTTATTAATATCAGTTAATCATGTCAATGAGAGTAACTTATTCTACGTGTCTATAAAGCTGCTGAATTACGTGTTTACTGAATCATGGTGTCGTTCTGTGAAGATTATATGTTATCTCATTTATATGATGATTCGATCGATAACTTCCTACATTTTAAGTCTTGTTTTCAATTAATTTATTTACGATAAGTGTTTTTCATTTCAATTCTCGCTTAATACTTTCTATCAAAGCATAGTTAATTGAATATATTCACTACTTCTATGTTAGCTATATTCTATAATTGGTTATTTTATTTGAAATACACTCCTTTGGTTAATCTTTATAGTCTAATATAGACAAGTATCTGTTCATCTCATACATAGTTTTTATTTTTCAACCTAAAATTCACATTTTCACTTAATTGAAAAAGGTTTAATATGTTGTTATTATTCTTGGAATTGTCTATTTTGATCTATACTTCGACTTTAGTTAATACTTACCTACGTTGTAGCTGACTCACTGATATATAATATATAAATATGTACATATGAAGCACTCAATGTATTCGAACAGATGTTCATTAAATGGGTAATATGTTATATATGCATAATAAAACATATTTTTCCCATTACCATTGATAATCAGATTGTTTTTAGCATAATAAACACTGTATTAATGATTTAGTTTAATGAGTTTTCTGTGTAGTGTTCATTTGTTAATGTGGTGTATTGGACCAAAGACGAAAAGGAGAGAAAACTACTTTCTTCAAATTGTAAAACGGTCAATTTTTGTACGTCATGTTAAATAGTTTAATTTGACCAGTTAGGATACACGAAAGTTGTTATGTTGCCATATATACAGGTAAACATAAAGTTGTTCTTTCTGAACCTTATGAATCAAAACCGTGTGTAATAATGTAGTGTGGTCTAATTATATCCAATATAAGTAGTATTTGGAGCTGGTCAGACATAGAATGTATCTTGACAGAAGACCGATAAGGAAAGAACCGGAAGGAAGCGCAATTGGTAGGAAAATGCATAAACAATGAAATCAGAGAAGATGGATTAATATTTGCAGAAGAAACAGCCAAGATTGTGACAAGTGATTGCTATTTTGCAAATTAACTGTTTGCTGTATGGTTAACAGAATTTAGTGAGTCAGTCTGTAATTTGTCCCCGCCAGTGTTCTTGTTCACTACAATAACATTATTGTTAGCCTCGTAGCATTATTTTATAATATTTAGTTAAAAATTCTCACTATCCCATTAGTTTCGAATTCAAAACTTTCATTTTCTATTTCCCTTCGGTTTGTATTGTAAAATAACCTAAACTGTTTGTAGTCAAATATTTATGCAAATTGCCTTAAACACTTCCAAGTTCTTATCATGTTTTAAATCATAATTGTCGTACACAAATAATATAAAGTCAGTTTTTATTAAGGAAAAGCTATTTTTATAATTATCTAGCTAGCAACGAAATTCAAGATACTAATTTTATCTCATTTAGAACTCGTCAGTTGGATATACATAGATCTTAGTGTTACTATTCGCATGAGAACTTGAATCCGGTACTTTTTTTCATTTCAGATACTATTACTAACTTGTTCAATCAGTATAATATTCATATCACCCTGTTAGTTATTTAAATATTTGATTGTTTCTACCAGTTCTATATCCATTTGTTTAATAAACATCAAAACAGAATATCACATCTGTGTCCCATTCCCCTTTTTCCTTTATTTTTCCCCATTTGAATTCGATCCATATTTAACATTCTATTTTATTTACAGTTCCAACAGAAGCTTTAACAAATGATATAGCAGCATTAGTTTCTGGTATGTCACAAGCTGATAAAGAGACAATTATTTTTGGTTCATTAAAAACACCACAACGTTTATCAGATTTTGTATTGAATAATAAATCTAAAGTGGAATCAATTGAAAAAGAAGCAGAAATTGCACGTAATATGTTTGCTAGAACAATTGAATGGTTTGGTGAAGCACAAATTAAACCTAGTCCAGAACAATTTTTCAGTTTAATTGTTCGATTTATTAAAAATTTCAAAGTAAGCTTATTGAATAATTGTTATTATTAATGTTAATTATCAGAAGGGGTTTTGTGAAGACTTAGTATTTACATAGTTGAAAGCGTGGTTCAATTGCAGCTAAACCACCATGGACAACCTGGAAACACTGGAAGGCCGTTTCGTCCTATTATGGGACTCCTCAGCAGTGCGCATCCGCGATCCGGCACTCGCGAGATTCGAACCCAGGACCTACCAGTAACCGTTGGACGTCGGCTCAATGACCTGTAGGTTAAGGGCTTTGGCTCGAGCCTGGTAGCTCGCGAGTGTGGGATCATGGATGTGCACTGCTGAGGAGTCCCATAATAGGACGAAACGGCCGTCCAATGCTTTCAGGTTTTCCATGGTTGTCTAGCTTCAATTGACTCACACTTTCAACTATTAATAATTTGTTTTTTCCATTAGTAATATTGTTATATTTATTATATACAATAATGATTTTGATTATCGATAAGATATATTTAAACATTAGAGGTTTATATAAACTTATTAAACGAATATTGAATCAACTACGTGTTCATCACTTGTCATGATGTAATAATTGTGACTTAAATTGTGTCATTTGTACTTGTGTGTACGCATAATAATCTGTGTAAGGTAAAGTTGTATACAGATTTTACTGTAATTATCGATTTTTAGTGTGTCGTATGTGTAAATTAGTGGACATCTATAGTGTTTTATTAGTGCTTCATTTGTTTCCTTAAAGACGTGTTGACCTTGTTGATAACCTTTTGAAAATGCTAACTGTTGATGCTTTGTTACATTGAATACTTTCTAATAGTTTTTATCAGTAAAATGCCTAGCTACTAAATAGACCTCAAATTCTTATATGACATATAGCTCTGCCATTTTTTCAAGTAACTTATAAAATGTTATGTGTATCTTTCTATGTTAGAATGCAATAGTTGACAATGAAGCACGACGTCGTGTTGAAGCTCTTCAAAGTTTAAATTCTGTAACCGGTGATGATAATGGACCATTATCATCAATCAATCAAATTTCAATAAACCATATTCCAAAAAGACCAAAAGATGTAAGTATTTGGTGTTTACTTATTGTTTATCATTTGCAATATAGTCCTATACTTTATTTAAACATCATTACCATAACGTCGACGAAAGTAAAGTATGTAAAAGAGTCAATCGAAATCAAAAACACTATCTTTAGGCTTTTGTGGAAATTATCTGTATATACTCCTCATAGCGAAAAATATTATTTTGCCAACACAAAGCGAAAACAATGGTGCCCAACTTATGAAATTCTCAATTATTTGTCAACTGTACATAATAGGTAAATCTACAGGACCCCTTAATCTTAACCATGAAACTTTTATTCTTGAACAGACCTTATCTTGTTGGTATTATATTTTATGAACAAACTAATTAGGCAACAGCTCTTAGATTTTTGCACAAAATCTATTCATCCATATGACTACAAAGCATTATAGCTGATGATATTTCGTGTTAAAAGCCTTAATCCTTACCCTAACAATGGATAATTTGGACACTGAAAAATTTATTATAATCTTCACAGTTGTTCTCGAAAATACATAATCTATATCCATAAAGGTGAATTTTCGCCGTTGTTTTGTCGATTTACAGTCAGAGTAATCTGTAGAAGAGTTTAATAAGTTCTATTATTGGTAATGATAATCATTAACTCGTGTTGTCCATTTGATGCAGTCGTTAATTATCAGTAAATACTATCTACTGATTATTCTTGTACATTGTACCTTTCTCCGTAAATTTAATACTTTTTAATTAATTAATTAATTTGAATACATAAATATTGGTACAAAAGCGCACCGAATACATATGCTCCACGAAAGTGAATATTGCAGTTTCCTTTCGAATCTGCCAAGGAATTCACTTTAAAGGAAGTATTTTCTACAACTATTAATTAAAATACTTAAAGTTGTGCTCTAAAATATAGAAAATTGATGTAACTGTAGTTGTGTATTGTCTGTCAGCTTTTTTGGTCAACAAGCAAACTATCGTTACTCAACTAACTAAAGGAAATACAAAAATAGTTAAAACTCAGTTAAATATCACTGAATATGATAATTCAGTATAATATTAATATAAAATGGGAGTTTTGTAAAAAAAAATCTTAAATCTAAATAATTTCCAATTAATGTCTTTCTGTTGAGTGTTTTAAATACATATGAACTTACAATTTGACATCATTCTAAATTCTTACATCTGTATGTATGTATCAATGTTTAGGGTAAATATAATGTTGATGTTTTTATGCCTTATATCTTTGAAATCTATCAATCCCTCACCTTTTTTTGTTTATCTTTGACCACATCTGACCTTCTACTTTTTTTGCGCCAATAACTTTTTTGTTCAATATCACTAACTATTTATAGACTTAACCACCTGTTTACTACCGGATTATTCGACTGTAAATTATGATTTATGTATAAATGATGACCATCAATAATACAAATTAAATTAGTTGTGATATTAATGAATTCGACAAAGTAGGATCTGGTGTGAATTGCTTCTCAGTTGTTGCTATACTTTACATTGATTCAGAGTAATAAATTCCTTACTCATATAAGTGTACAATAAACTGAAATCGAGACTTTAATGTTTCACGATAAGTGATGTATATGAAAGACAATGAACTGATTTAACAAACGTTGGCTTATCAGTGGAACAATATATTCCTATGCATTAATTCTTAGCTTTTATAGATAGACGACTTGAAATTTCACAGAAAATCAGTCTCGGCAAAAATAACTTTATTGGTATCATCTCAGACTTTATAGCTGAATGACTCAACTTTGGATCTCTCAGAGTGCATCACTTTTCTTAAGACTTCATGTAACCAGTGACAACTATCCTATATCTACTCACAAGATCTCCAAATGCAACACGGAGAACACCAACGTAATATCACTTGATGGAGAAGTTCTGTGAGATGTGGAATCTTTCACGTACCTGGGAAGCATCATCGATAAACAAGGAGGATCTGATCCTGACTTAAAGGCGAGGATTGGCAAAGCAAGGGCCTCATTCCTACAATTGAAGAATATATTGAACTCAGAACAACTGTCTGCAAGTCACAATCTTCAATACGAATGTCAAGAAAGTCCTACTGTACGGAGCTGAAGCTTTGAGAACTACCATAACCATCATCAAAACAGTACAAGTATTTATAAACAATTGTTTAGACAAGATACTCAACATTCGTTGACCAAGTACCATCAGCGAAAGCCTACTTTGGAAGAAAACAAACCAGCTTTGAGGTGAAGAGGAAATTAAGAAAAGACTCTAGAAGTAAATAAGGCATACATTACCGAAATCACCAAACTGCGTCATGAGGCAAGCGCTTACCTGGAATCTTGAACGGGAAGGGAAAAGAGGAGAATCAAAGAACACACTATGTTTGGAATTGAAAGCAGACATCAAAAGGATATATAGCAACTGGAAAGGATTACCCAGGACAGGGTTAGATGGAGAATGCTTTTGGGTGGCCTATTCTCCTTCACAGAGGGTAACAGGCATAAGTGAGTAATATCTAATCACTTAAACTAGTGACCACACTGTAACTTCATAGATAGAGTTTGACCTACACTAAAGAACTAATCAAAAATGATATTGATTGCTACTCAGTGATAACCACATCTTTAGTAAAATAAAACTTCTTCTTTTCCCCTTCTTCCCTTACACACATCTTTTACTGCAGATTTCTTTTCTATTAATGTTTCTCTTACAATCGAACCTGTTCGCTAAATTGTTTTTCATTAATATTTCTTATGAATACTATTATCCATTTATTTATTAGGATGTCCCTATATCGGAATTACAGGTTTGTTTAAATTCTGCCTATTCAAACTTATGCATGTATATTCATTTTTAATAATAATAGTTACTGATGAATATTATTTCACAAATGATTACAATTGTAATTTTTTTTAAAAATTGTGTTATCATCATTTGGCCTACTTTTTACATCATGTATCACCCATTACCCACTGACTGACTCATTTGTCGATTTCAAACAAACAGAACAAGTCGTTATTTTAAAATAAATTCATTTTATTCAATTGTAAATATAAACATTATTATTATTATTATTGTATTCAATAGTTCTATTCTAAACGTTTTTCGGTGCATTTGTGTCATATTTAGTTGTTTTTTTTTTGATGTGTTTAACTGGTGAATTGTTACTATCCGATTTTTCTTTTATAAAAAAAAGACATTTTACATGTGTATAAATGTTGGTGTATTTTTCTATAAGGTGGGCGTACTAATCATTTAGTAGTGACCATTAATGTTTCATAGAATAAAGTCTTTGTCATATATATACAAAATGGACTTCTAATGTGTTATTCTAGGTAATGTTAATCTCATTCTCTTTTGTTTTGTAAACCATTTTAAGTAATTTAATCAATTTGAAATGGTTTGAATTAATTTTGTTATGGATATTTGAACTGAAATTTGAATAGTTTTTGGTTAGTATATATGTATATCCTGTGTGAATTGCTTCGATATAGCCATTATGATATAAGTTAAACATTGAATAGATAAAATGTAGCTTACCAAGACTAATCAAATTTCAATAAAAATATCAATAGCAGAATAATCTAAGCTATTTCCAATTTCACAGATTAATGGTTATCTTGACTCAGTAGCTAATCAGAACACGTAATAGCATTTGAAGCGAATGCTACTAGATTCAAGCCTCGGAGTGAACATTAGCTTTGGGATCCGAGTACACCCGGCTGATGAGCCTAAAATAGGGTGAAATGCGCATCCTTTATTCCATTACCAGCTATATTCCATCTATTCTACATCATTCGAAGTAATTTTTGAATAAGGGTTAGTGAGTTTTAGATTATTATTAGTAAAGATTAGAATTCTTCTTTTATCGACTGCTTGAAGCTCACTGTACTAGATTCAAGTCTCAATGTTGAACATCAACACTGACATGCACGTGCATCTTGTTAATAGGTCTGAAATAGGCTGATATGTAACCATAAGCAATCTATTCTAAATTAGTTTTGTTTATGTCAGCTGAACTTACATGGGTATTCTTATCCAAGACTTATATCGGTAAAGGTGATGGATCCTAACATTGAACAGAAACTGAAGATGTTTTCCTGTTTATTTTTATCTTTAAATTAACACATTGTGTATAAAATCTTTTGGTGAGACTAAAGAACATGGACGAGCCAATCAAAAGCTTTCGCGGGTTTTCAAGGTCACGGCGCTAAGTTCAATACCTGACGCTTACGTACGGTCGGTTTACATAGGATTTTATAGAAAACGTTATAATTAAGGGTCTACAAGATAAGTTATCGTAAGATTTTGGCGCAATATTCAATTATACATTTGGATAGAGTTGTGGCATTATAGCTGATGTCAGTTGGTAATGAAAACCCTAAGTATAATTCCTAACCTTAACCATGAACTGTAAATCATAATTTGAACTCTTCACACGGGTTTATAACCCTCATTTAGTTTTAGTTGTTACGTTGACACTCTCAGATTCACTCTAGCGTCGCTCAAATGTCGTCCATAATTTATAGTTTCATCTTTAACCCTAATCCTAAACCATACCAACATACCGACAACACTAAAACTATGTGGTCAAGGCTGAAAGAGTTTCCGGGACTTTATCATGGTTCCAGAGGTCGTCTACTATGGAGCCACAGGGATGAGTTCCTGTGCCGGAAGCACTATGATTTTAGAACTTCTGAACCTATATCTGACCTTGATAAGTTTTTGAGTCATGTAAAAGAACAGTATCCCCTTTAATTTTTGAGTTTTGTATAATATATTTTTCCTGTATGCTAACTATCTTCTGATTGGCTAATATTTCTCAAAGTCATTTAAGACTCGTTCAAAGGTCGTCCATGTTCTTTAGTCTCGCCAATCTTTTATTTGTATAAATAAATAAACACGAACCTATATAAAAGTATAATGGTTTTAGTTTCGATGTTGTAATACGTCCCAGAATTTTTGAATAGGTAAACTGTTATATTTGTTACATGGGAATTAATGTTAGCGACAAAATCATAAATGTTAAAATCATTTCCCACTTTCTTATCCAGTAATCGAGATTCACGTAATATGAAGCATTGAACAAATTGTAAGGGCTGGTATTATGTCAAATCTATATAGGTTATTCTAGCCTCTGGACAGACCAATCTATTCATTCTTCTTAAGCCACATTTTTACCTTATCACTTATTCGCTTATTATTCCTGACCTTTTTGTTTGTTTATAAATGTTGATTCATGCCTGAGTGAATTAAGTTGATTCACTTGCTTTCTCTATCGCGCGTCATTTCGTTTCGCTTCGCTATCTTCACTTCATTTCCTTGATCTTTTGTCCCGAAATTCATTCTCCTATTTGACTTATCTAATTCCGTTATTCACTAACTCGAGTCAAGTCAATGATAATATACGAGGGTTAGCAGTATGTATAAATCGACAGCATTGATCGTATGATTTCATTGGAGTCAGATACCTGGTCACTAAAAAAGCATCATCTCATTTAAGAAATGTTTTGTAGATGAGTATTACTAATAGTTGTAATAACATCATAGAAGTTTCCATTGTATCTTCTCTCTACTGATATTGACATTCTAAATATGTATTGGAAAAAAATCATTTTAACTAGTATATTACTGCAACTTTTGTATAATTTCAGAGAAATAAATTTCATCTCTTTTAAAGTTATCTAAATTTATTAATGAGGTAATTTTGTGTATTGCTAATTTAGCTCTCCAATTCTCCATTGAATCATCCTTCTATTGTTATTGTTCTCTGTGAATTAAATACTGTGCGTTGGATAATTTTTTATATAAACGACCAGAAATTCGCTGTAATCTAAACTAGTTAGTTGAGCAGTAATTGTTGTATAGTTGAATTCACAAAATATACAGATTGATTACTATAAACAGATAATTTTACGAACTGTTCCATATCGCTCTTAATTATGAATTGTGAACATCGTCTCCTATTTGTTTGTTGGGTCGCATTATTTGAATTCGTGTTCTGATTAACTACTGCTGTCTCTGTGTATTGTGTTTATTGTTTTTAATTTTGTTATCTCGCTTTGATCCTACGCTGATGTCTTTTTTTTGTTAACGCGTCCGATACAGACTCATATGGTTGTCTTTGAGCCACACTAGAAGTGTGAGAGTAAGTGGTACTACTCCGAGTCCCTAAACTGAAGTAGGTGTAGCAGGGTTCAAACGTGTGACTTTGTGTCCGAAAGTTAAACAACCTAACCAATAAGTCACCGTTTATTTTAGATATTCTTATTTATGCTATCAGATTATCTGTTTAAAGTTTATTATTATGATTGTCTTAACCAATGGTTAGAGACTTTGGATGACATGACAAAGAACTGTCCTTGATGGTGCAGACCCATTCTCGCTGTGTTTTCTCTTATATCCTGAATCCAATATTTCTTCATAACTTTTCCACTAATAACGATACTGTTACTACTTCTACTTCTTTGGGATTTATCTTAACAATGTTATCTTGCTGTGGTAATGTCATGTGGCAATCTAAACTGATGCATTTATATGTCACCTTCTACATTATATTTAAATGACTCGTAAGGAGTGTTTGTGTTGGCAACTTGCTCAGTCCTAGAAAGTACGTAAAATGTTTCTTCATAATATATTTTACAGTCGGAAAAACTTCGTTGTTATTCGCTTAGTTGGTTACTGAACATCTTTAACTTTTTGTAATTTTCATGGTTTCTGTATCATTAACTGATCAATTTTAGACAACTATTGAAACCTCAAAGCACTAGATAATTGTTTCAGTCTAGTAGAGTACTCCTCGGCAGTGCTCATCCACGACACCACATCCAGGGATCATACTCAACACCTTGAGTACCACGCGCGAACACAGCCTCTAGGACACTGAGCTGCGATTGAATGATATACATATCTACTTTCAACCAAGTCACTATATTTTTCCACCATCTTCTTTTGACTATGATGTATAGCTATTCCATAACTGACATGATTGTAGTGCACTTATCACTGCTTCCCTTTGTAATCTGTAAACTTTTTTCTGCCAATAATTGTAACGTAGTTTTCAAGTGCTATTAAGTCTTTCGCAAATAGTTTCAGCGTTTTATTTCATATTTTGATCAATTTTTTAAACAGTACACTGGATGGTTGTAAACCATCAATAGTTTGTCGATTATGTTCTCGTATTTTACCTACAATAATTGTACTAGTGCTTTTGTATTCTTCACAATGGAATGTTTTTCCGTCTTTTTTTTACAGAGACTACTTATTTCTCAATCCATTTTTCTCTTTTGATAACAAAGTAATCCTCAATTATTGGGATCATTTAATGTTAGATTACACGGTGATCAGATTATATTGACAAACTTGAAAGTAATTGTTTCTACAACTATTACTATCGACTTAATATCAATAAAACCACTGCTGACAATGTAGCAAAGTGTTTTTTTATAAACAATATTACTACTTTGATGAGTGATTAATTAAGGCAAGACTTTACTAAGTAACTTGTTTATATCCCTTCTATTCATGTTCATAAAATGACTATGGGGCTTATTTCAATTATAGAAGCTTAATTTCTGCACTCAGTGTACCTGAATAGTAACGTATCTGAAAGTGACAACAGTTGCAATCATCCCATCTGGAATATCATTTCTCTCTAGTTAATAGGTAAACCTATCTGATATATGTGCCAGCTAGAGTAAAATGTGGGTTCAGGACTTCATATCGATTCCCTATACCTACCTAATATATTCACCTTTATGAACTGTTTGGTTTTTTATGAATTTCAATATATTTTCTGTCTTTATATGTAGTAATAACTAATTGGTCAATTTCCTTTTCACTGTTTAATCTAATTGGTTTTAATTTTAAAGTAACACATCATATAATCACTTAGATCCTTTTTTCATATTAGATGGGTAGTTTTTCATTTACTAAAATTGTAGGAGTTACCCTGCAACGTGCCACACAAACAGAAAGGTAGTGTTATGGATGAGTGAAATGGGGAAAGGGAGTATAGTTTAAGAATAATAAAAAAGATTATATAAAAAGACTTCTCTCAGTTAGTGAAGTTCCTGTCAATTTCACGAGAAATGTAAAAGAATACTATAGCATGATAACCACTGGTTCCTATTCTGTGCTTCGTCTGATCATATCTTAGGCCAGTCAGTTTCACTATCTATAGAACCCCAACCAGTAAATTTTTCATATCCCTCACCATATCATTAACTGACTGTTTGCTAGGTTTATGCATCCAGTCTCAGCGTTGGGAGCTAGTCTCTGAGATGGTAGCTGCTGGGATGACATTCGAATCATATGTCCAATTCTTCGAAGATAGCGTTTTTAGGTGGTGATACCCACTGGATTGTTGTCTTTGTATATGATTGTGAATCTAACCGTGGGTTCTTTCAATATCGCTTTCAGTTGGTGGTATATCAAATCTTCATTGTCATGGAAATATGTCGTGAATTTACCATCTTTATACTCCAAATCGTTAAAACTATTTTACATCAGTATATGAATCCAAAACTTACCATACTATGTGTAACTGACATTTTTTATTACGGTTATTTGATTTGCACAAGACCACACATAACTTTGTATCCAAATGTGTAAAAATATTGATACAACTTCGTTGCAAAATTTAGTTGAGAGGAATACTATACCCGTTTGTTTAAAAGCGAATTTGGTTAATCGTTGTATGCTTAAAGTTAGGATACTGCTTTACATACATGTTAAGATTCTGTACTGCAGATCAGAAATTTTACACCATTTGTGACTTCTGTTGTGTGGTCGTACAGAAAACACTGAATAAAGGATCAAATCTAGCATCTTCAAAGGGCCACTTTATTCTTTTAGTAGTTTTACAAATCGACAATTATTCTGTTTCATAAGAATAATGAGATATTTTCTCCAAAAAAACAAGGCTTTTCACTTATAGTTCTGTTTATATCGCAATAGCATACTTTCCCTTGTTTATTTATTATTTATTTGAACACACAAATATTGGTACAACGGGCACGAAATACATATGCGCCACACAATTGTGTGAGGGATATGATACTGCCTAGGTACCCAGACCGAAGCGGGTGGTTTTCTTAGGGGGTCACACCTGGAGCGTTTGGCCTAAAGGTCTGATCCACAAGGCAATTGAGTATCGTGAGGAGATGCAGTCCCATGGTAGCTGGTGACCAACGATTGGTCCATACATCGTTTGTTCCCTCAGGATACTGAAGCCTATGTTCACCACTATTTCGGAATCAGGGCTTCATAACTCCCCTAGTTGAACTCACTGTGTCCACCAATCCGGTTAAAGTGCGGGACCTTATCTTTTCGTCCTCTCAATTTCGTAAACAACACCCCTGCCACAAGAATTTAGTAAGTAGGACTTCCCTGGCAGTGGCTGTATACGCATTTTGAGAGGGAGAGCTGACTCTTCCCACTCTTGGCCGTACCAGGGCATTTTGGGGCAAACTTTCCCTTTCTGTGGCATTTTTGTCTCAGGATTTTGTTTCAGCTAGTCGTTATGTAAATCAGCTTTGCTGTCTATCAAAATACCTCTAGGCTTAACTGGGTATTTTATTTGAATATAGATTCAATATACTACATATGTGTATATACTGTCGTCAATTATATATAAGCCACAGTGTTAGGTTAATCGCAAACATAACTCTGGTAATGCATACCATGTTGTATGAATACTGAAGTTATTGTGAAGTTTCCTACACCAAGTCATTCGAATGTTAAAAGCTCCTAACTAATATTTCCTTCCTTCATTGTCTTACATTAAACAATATCAAGTTTTTCCTTGAACTAATTTGGTGCATAATAAGTGATACTACCGGGAACCTCAATCGTAGTAGTGTTTTTGATTCGACCAGTTGCATTCCTTAATTCTAGTTAATACGGTTTATTATTATGAAAAGTCTAATTCACTTTGATTTTAAAACAATAATTTATTGATGTTATAGTATGAAAATTCACTTTAGCCTTATCGAAGCAAACACAGTTGCTGACGAAAATGAATTATTGCATTTAATCCAAGTGATTAAATGGTTTCGGTAAGTAGAGAGGTTTGGTTATTTTGAAGTTCGCATACATTCTATCTCCTTTACGAGGTGACTTTTGTGAGTGACCTTCAGCCTACTAATAAGTAGTATGAATTTACCGTTCACATTTGTCTTTGCGCTTCGATGTGGTTGTTTTTACAGGGTAGATATAATCATTTCCTTCATTTTTAAATCAATAAATTGAATTCATGATTTGCGCTCATAATTTACGCCTTTAAATTAAGTGATTGTTTTATGCTTCAAAAAGATTGGTTTTAAATTTTTCGGTGTGTGCTATCAGAAATTTTTTCCGCTCTTTAGCCTATAAGTTAGACTGTGTATTTTTCTTGTTTTAGAAGCGTTTGGCACAAGAAGCTCGGTTGGCTAAACGACGATTTAAAAACCGTACTAGACAGATCACAGGAGATGGAATGATGGATGAAATTCTAGCAGGTATCTTATCATTTTGTTGTTTTGTACTGTTTTTTGACTGTACCGAAATTATTATTGTGGTGTGCTCTACTTATGCGGAAAAACGTTATTACAATGTAGCAGAAATTGGGAGTGAAATGCTTAACAGAAGAACATTGAAATAAAGAGAAAAGTAGGGAAAACTGGGAGCAATCGGAATAAGTGAAATGGAAGAATGATGGAGTGTGTAGGGGATAACCGAAGGAAGATATGCAAATGATGTATTTAATAAGATGGTGGTCGGAGGTAGTCAACAGGAAACCTTAGACATAGATTTCGTGCTACTTGGCACTCGTCGCATCCCGGATAGATCAGTGGTAACGTCTCTGAATATGAAGCTGGGTGATACGGGATCGAATCCGACAGGGAGCACCAGTTCCCTCAATATTACAGGTACACATTGCTGACGGGTGCCAAGTAGCACGAAACCGGGGTCCAGGGTTTCCTGTTGACTACCTCCAACCACCATCTTAACATAGTCCACGCAATGTCGAGTCACCTAGACTAGTGGCCACATTGCAACTTGATCGATTCGATCTGCCCTGAGAAGTACTTGACATACATTACACAGATCATCACCCAGTGATCAGTCAATTTTTAGATATATTTAATGTCTGATTTTCATGTTTTACAAAGACACTGTTTGATTTTGCATAAAACAGTAAATTGGTTTTCCCAACAAAGTCGTCTTTCATAGGCACAACTAAGTTTTTGATATAGTAGATAAGTTTTGTGTTATTTAAAATATGATCGGAAATCGCCCTCACTTTCTCAACATTACGTAAACGATGAGGAAAAATGAAATGAGGTAAAGATAAATTATGAACTAAAAGTCTGAAATATAATTGCTTTCTTGAATAAATATTCAAAGAGTTGTTGAAAAAGTAACGAACAATAGTACAAACTCCCAAACAATGAAGCACGTTTTAGGTTCAACGTAAAATAAAGCATTGGACGTATTCTGAATGTCGACCACTTTTGTAACATTGGATTGCCAATACTTCTGTAGTGAACAAGAACACGGATAGTTACAATCGAATATATTTAAGCACAAATTACAGACTATCTCACTAAATTCTGATAATCATACAGTAAACAGTTAATTTGCAAAATAACAATCAATCGTCACAATCTTGACTGTTCCTTCTGTAAATATCAATCCATCTTCTCTGATTTGATTGTTTATGCATTTTCATACCGATTGCATTTCGTTCCGGTTCTTTCATTATCGATCTTCTACCAAAATACATTCTATGTCTGACCATCATCATATACTACTTATATGGATATAAGTAGCCCACACCACACTTCTACTGTATGCAGCATTCCTATCTGTAATCCTTTTAAGTTAGTTCTTAAATCTTGTAAATAATTTTATCGAGCTACACGATCAGCGATAACTAGGTATATGTGAATTTAATTACTGAGTGTAATACTTTCTTTTTTCAATAGTCATACAACGTAATGGTTGAAGATGCCTTTCGAAAGAATACACTTTATGTAGCTAATAGTATAATACATTCCATAATCATCTCATAAATAGTTCTTACATGAACTCTTTATAGCTTTAAGAATTATCTTGTGACACAGTGGCAGTAATTGGAAAATCCTTTCACATCATATTCTCAATTGATTTGTTTTTTCTATTCTTAACTGACCTGTAAATCGCTTATTTTCTTCTCTATTCTACATTATGTGGATTTTCCTGCCAAAAATTATTAGCCTTTGACCTCAAGCCAAAGTAAAACATTGTTGTATGCATATACCTATCTCATGCGACATATAATTAATAATCTTTTGGAGGTATTTTATAGTCTTAAGTATTTCTATTCTTTCACTATTCATTATATTAATAAATATTCATTAAAGCTTACTTGACTGATGGTAATATTTCATTAAGAACTCGCTAACTTGTCTGTAAACAGAAATCTAGAATATTATCAATAGAAAGTGTGCCACTGTCTTACCTTCTAATCCTCATCATTAATGTTTGCAATATTGAATGTATGTAAATAATAACCACTTGGCTAACAGTACTAATGTACCGAGTCTTTGTTGTTACATCTCTACGTGATTTGTTTTAACCCTTGCACTGACAAATTAGTCTCATCTTTTTTCATTTGTTCTATCATCCATATATTTCACCTTGCCAATTATTTGCATGTGACCTTGACCATGCTTGTATGCTAGTACGTGGTGTCTGTCTCTTTCATACTTATCAAGAATGAATCACATATTACTCATCCGGTTGGGACATTCTTCACTCTGTATCTCTCATCTTAACATCTGTCAGAGTAAACCAGTGTCTGAAATAAATTCGTCCAACTTAATTCGTATTTGCCCTTTTATTACTATTTATGTAGAACATGCGAAATCAAACGGAGAATTTATGGTTATGGCTCATTCATCGTCCGTTCACAATGCAATCAAATCCCCGTGTGTTGACTAAAATTTTCATTAAGCGTGGATAACTAACGATAATAATAATAATCAATTGATAATTTCAGATGAATCGTAGTTCATTCATCGTGAATGTCGCTCATTATTTTGCTTATTGTTTCTATGGGAAAATCAGTATTTACGTCCTCACATGGATAGCATTCTTATTTACAGTTGATTTATCACTGAATAGCGACCAGTGTTATGTGTGTCAAGTCCTTCGTACTGTTGATATAATTCTATCAACCGACTTGGAATGTGGCTGATCACCAGTCTAAGTGATACCACATCTGTTACACTATGTTGGGACGTGGTTTTCAGAGGTAGTTGACAAGAAACCGTGAATCTAGACTTTATGCTAGTTGGAGTTCATCAACAAATTGTGCTTATTATCAAGCGGGAACTGATACTACTTGGTGGATTTGACCCCGTATTACTCAAATTCACGGTCAGAGATGTTATTAATGAGCTGTTCGGGCTGCGACTGACCTATGAAACAGAGATATATATGTAAAATTGATTGATCACTGACTAACTCATGACTTATAAACTAATCGATTCGAAATAATAACATTTACAATCGTAGTTAAAAAGCAAACATGAGAATTCAGTTTAAAACAAATTAATAAAATATAATATTGAACTTTCCAACTACTAACCTATAAATAGTGAATATATCTGCACCACTGTAATCGATCTTTATCCATATCAGTTTGATTTTTCGTAGGGAGAGGGTTGAAGTACACTTATTTTGGTTTAATAACCAACCATCTCGTTCATGATTTATGAGAAATTTAATTAGTTTTATATCTCCTTTCATTATTGTTAAAATCGTTAAATAATCCTGAGGGAACAAATGGCGTATGAATCAATTGTTCGTCACCGGCTTCCATGGGACTTCATCTCCTCACGATGTTCCACTGCCTTGTGGATCAGACCTTTAGGTCAAATGCTCCGGGTGTGGTCCCCTAAGAAAAGCACCTGTTTCGGTTTGGGCACCCGAGCAGTATCACAGCCCTCACACAAATTGAATAAGATTTGTGTGACGCATATATATCTTGTGCCTCTGTGTACCAATATTTATGTGTTTAAATAATAAGTAATAATACATACATTAAAAACGTGCGTGTTTCCCTTAACCACTACTATTTATTATCCCGCCTAAAATTCAGCCTTATCATTCATTCGTAATTCCTCTGTGTTGGTATTTTTTCTTTCTCATTTTCAACTACTATTTACGCGTCAGTATGTGGTTGTGAACATTGTTCAGCTTTTGATTGGGATCATGAATCGATTGATGTTACACCACTATTGAAGTACTGGACGGCCGTTTCATCCTAATACAAGACCCCTCAACAGTGTGCATCAACCTTATGATTTTATCAATTTCAGTATTTTTGTATATTTTATAGATTTATACGTATATATTTAAAAATGATAAATTGTTTATTTTTTATTTATTTTGTAGGTCTTATATCGGAGCCTTTACAAGCTGAAGTTCATCCACATCGTAATCGTCTATCTGAAAATAATAATTGAAATATTTTATTTCTGATTTCTATCCATAATTCAAATAATTATTCACACACACATACACACACTATACACCTATTAGCTTGTTTTCTACGCCCAAATCAATGAATTAACTTGTCATCTTTCTTATTCATTACATTTCGATTCCTTCTTTTTGTTTTCTTTGTAATTCACATTAGTTTGTTCATTGTGACTTGTTGTTTGTTATAGTTTATGATGACTAGTCAACTGATAGATTTACATACTACATATATGTAGTCTTCTGTTTTGGATTGTGCTTCAATTAATTTACCTATGAATATTAAGATCTTATCTAAATGATCATTATTATTATTGTTGTTTTTTTTTCTTTTTGTATTCAATTCATTTAACTCATCACTGATTTGTTGTTTACAAGTCGGATAGATTGACATATTGTTTTTTATTTTTAATATTCATTTCAAACTTGTTTTGTTGGCTTGGTTTTTTTTTCTTTTCTATAATCTAATTGGTTTGCATCAATACTTTTGTTTAGCTCTATTATGTTCGAATGTATTAGTGTTGGTATTAGTTAGTGTTATGTGTCGGTTTTTTGTTGTTGGTTTCTTTGAATATCCACACTGTTTTTTATATTTGATGATATTCGAATGTTTGTGTTATCATTGTAGCTCAAATTCCTCTTCTTTTTTTTTTAAGTTCCCTTTTTATTAATTTACTTGGTAAAGCTCATTGTTATTGCTTTCCTCCTCTCTACTGATCATTATCTACAGTTTATTCTACTTAGATATTGTAACTAATGATGATTTCTCTTTTATCTATTAAGAAAAAAAAAGACATTCTTTTTCTGTTCAATTTTAAATCTAGTCACATTTTTAATTGATTGTTATATGATGAACTATGTGTCACTCCATCTCTTTTTTACTCCTTATTTGTTTACCGCCTTATTTGTCTTATCGACTTCTAGAAGGTTTTTTTTAATAGTTAGGAAGAGAAGTGAATAGACAATGATCTCCCGGTTAACCAAATCTCTCGCTTTTTTTCAATCATTCAAACCAAACCTCTGCAAATGAACATATATATATACAATATCTGTATAATAATTATAAATAGTATTTTTACACTGTGTCCAAGTATTGTATTCATATTCCTTACTTTACCCAATTAATATTCCGTTTTTCTAATTTAGTTATTTATATTCTGTGTTGCTATAGTAGTTGCACTCATATTGCCTGTTGTATGTTTTATTAAAATTGACATGTATGTGCACACATATTTATTATTGCATTGAAATAACAATCAAATTCCCCTTTGTATATCTCTCTCTCTCTCTACTCACGTTTTGGTAAATTTACTCATAGAGTGTATTAATCAGGGTTTTATCCACAATCGGAGACATTAGTCGTCCTTTTAAAAAGTTTAACTTTTTTGTTCTTGTATAAGTTATTTCAAAGTAATCTTTTATAATTATTTATCATCGATGCCTGCTTATTCATGTTGGTATGTTTTGCTTTCACATTTGTTGATTACGTAATAATGACAATAATGAACAGTAAAGAAAAAATAGAAAATGGTTATACTGGTATTCTTGTAAATTTATTATACCAGGAAAATTCCTCATTTTGTAATTGAACTTTGTATTGAGAAACTATTTCTTATGCCCTTTTATAAATCTGTATAAAAATTTACGTGTTAATTTTGGGTTATAATTTATATACATATAAATATATATGATATCTTATCAGGCTTTTATTCTATCCAGCTGATAAAACGCCCCCAAATGTACTGGTATGTCCAAGAGTGGGAAGAGTCAGCTCTCCCTCTCGAAATACCTATACCTATATTATCGAAAGCACATCGACTAGCTCCCCAAAAACTGAGGTTGATCAAAAGCGCATTCAAGCGTATGTTAGGTTTGGGAAGTATTCGGCCGTCAAACAGCCTATAGGCATCTCCCTCACACACAGTAACTAAAAAGAACAGCAACGATTGGCGTCTAACTGGCGACTCTCGGCGTTTGAATGTGAATACCATTCTTGATCGTTACACTTTGCCTCACATTCACGATTTGCCAGCCACCTTGAAAAGTACAACTGCTTTTTGAATATCGATTTAGTGAAAGCACATAATCAAATTCCTACGGCCTCTGACGACATTCCTAGAACCTCTATCATCACACCTATGAGTTTTCACTCACGCCGTTCGGCCTAAAAAATGTTGCACAAACCTTCCACAGGCTCATCAATGACGTCTTTCGAGGTCTCAACTTCGTACATATGTATGTTATGGCTTTTAGATCATCATCAAAATCCTCACGGTTTTGTTTTACTTCCTTCTTAGCGATCGCTATATCACGGCCAAGAGCATATCTCAAGCTTTCGCTCGCCATCGATGTTCCAGAGACTAAAGAATGAATGCTACTTGACCGAGGTTTGAATCGTAACATTAGCTTTTCAAACTCTTTATTCAAGGTGGTTGAGTCGTCTGAGTAGTCATCGATTCCATAATCCTTGGTAAACTGACCGGAGCTAGAATTTGTGATGTCTTCTGAATTTTCGTTGGCACCGTAAAGAAAACGTTCCATGAGTGCGACTTTATCTTTAGAAACCTTTGAGATATCTGTTTCTATTGTCTTTGCTTTCAATTATTTGTTGTCCCCAGCCACTTTGGCATTATCACTACCGATTTCTAAGGATTTCACATTGTGGCCACCTGCAAGTTCTACAAAATTATCCTCCTATGTCGAAAGACTCGGCTTCTGAATCCATATTAAGGTTACTAATAATGTGCTCATCGTAATCAACTTCAGGTTCGCGTATTCTAGATGAGTCAGAATCACTGGAAGCATTGCTGGCGCAATATTCAGGTATTACAGTTATAATGTAGGCTTCTTTGGTATCATCAGATTTGAGATGTTGCATATAGTCGTAACCGTCATCCACAAACACTTCATAGTTAAAATGAATAGGGACTCCTGGCAAAGGTTTCGACAATTCTTTTTCGACCGGCTTTAGTTCACACTGTTTGAAATCCTTTCTGTTGAATTTTTTCATCATAAAAGACCAGCTGATTTGTTAGCGGGAGCGAGATAGGACGAACGTAGCAACTGATGTATTACTAAAATGACCGCCAATACAACCCCTCACTTGGTCCACACTATTAACGTCACAGTTCTTTTTGCCGCCATTCAAAGTAAAACGGTTCTGGACGGAATATAGGAACCTTTCACATTACGGGCTTCTGTATCTAGTAAGAGCGGATCATCGGTGCCGCCGGATAAGAAATACCAAGTTGACGGTAATGATTTTAGACCAGATATGAAACGACTAGCGCCACTGACAAATACATCGACTCCAAAAAATCCCACAGAATTACGTTCACTAGTGGGTGTTCTTCAGTACTATTCTCGTCTTATTCCTAATTTTTCTTGTCGTGTCAACGGTTTATTTAATATTTTGACATCCGGGTCATTCAAATGGGGTGAGAAACAAGAGTCATGCTTACGAAGTCTGCCAAAGTTTCTTCAAAGTGATGCTATTCTTCGAACTTACTCACCCAGTGTACATTCTGTATCTATTACTGTGGGTATTGATGCAGTTTTTGGAGCACGAAGGTAGACTAGTTATTTATGTTTTACACAAACTTACTGTTACTGAACAAGGTTATTCGCAAACTCAACGAGAACTAGCTGTATTTTGGGTTGTTAAAAGGCTTCGTAAATATTTATTTGGAAAGGAGTTTACCATTGTTATTGATCATGAAACTTTAAAGTTCATTTATCATCCTGAAAAATCCTTAGCACGTTCCTCAGCAGCTATGGTTCAACGATGGAGTATTGCTTTGAGTGCCTATGACTATACGGTTCAGCACAGGAGTGCTAAACAAACTCAACACGTCGACTACATTTCTCGACAATCATTACAAGATAGACCTGTTAATACCTCAGACTGTTTGTTAGTGCAACATTTAACGGTGAGATGTTCAGATCTCATTAGAGGAACTCGTAGATACTTTAGATGTATACGCAGTGCTATACGGAGAGGTTGGAATTTTATTTTATTTACTTATTTGAACATAAATATTGGTGCAAGGGGGGGGCACCAGATATATATGCGCTACACAAAACAATGAAAAGGGGAAGAGAACGGGATAAGATGCATAAAACAAAAGTAATGGTAAGGGGAACTGAAGAGTACAACCACAAGACTCTTTCAGTTAAGAAAGTTATGACCACTCTTTGTGAAGAAAGTAAAAGAAGGTTACAGCAGGTTCGCCACTGGATTCTATTCTGAGCCATATCTGATAACGTCTCTAGCCACTGTGTTGCACCATCTCTTGGACCCCAATCAGGGGGTCGTCAAGGTCCAACAGAAACCAGCCCTTTGCAGCTTTCTTTCATACCACGACACCATGTCATACACTGACCACCTGCACACTTTCTCCAACCAGTTTCAGCGTCGGCAAATAATGCACGACATGGAATTCTCTACGATGCCATTCGTAGAACATGTCCAAGCCACCGAAGTCGATGTTTCAAGATGTTGACACCATTTGGATTATCGTCTCTGCACCCGAACACACGATGCCGAACCTCTGCATTACTAACATAGTGTTGCCACTGAATGTCAGTGATTCTTCGGAGACAACAAAAATCAAACACAGAGTTGTCTAACATCCTCAACTCGGAGAGGCCAGGTTTCACAAGCATAGAGCAAAACTGCTCTCACCGACGCGTTGTAGATCCGACCTCTCTCAGCCAGACTACCATCATTAAGGTGCAAAAGATGGCTCAGATTGACATAAGTCGCTCTGGTTTTCACTATACGTGCATCGATCCCATCACACACGCCATAATATAGGTATACTCCGGTTAAAGGGCTGAACATTCACCTTTCGTCGTCTCAATTTCATAAACAACACCCCTGCCACGAGAATGCAGTGAGTAGGACTTCTCTGACATAGGCTATATTACGCGTTGCCATTTGAGAGCATTTCGAGAGGGAGAGCTGACTCTCCCCTCTCTCGGCCGTACCAGGGCCTTTGGGGGTTTAAATGCTACTGCATGTTTAACTAAAAATACTTTTCTACTGAATAGTTTAAGTAACCTGTCATCTAGTTTAATATGTATATTAATTTATCTTATTTTCACGTATATATATGCTGAAAATACAAGGCATTATATAATTTGTTAAAAGAATACAAATTTAGCCATTTTATGGATTTTAACGAAGCCACGTATTCTGATTGTCTGAGTAAACAAAACTTTCAGTTAAGGTGTAATCACAAATCAAAATAAGACGAGGTATATGCGTGAGCTTCATTAGGTACGTAATTCAGTTAACCTATCTGAGGCTAAATATTTTTTTGACCAATCTTTGTTTTATCTTAATTTATCTCTTGATGCGTAAAGTTAATGTGATCACTTTTAGTCGTGTGTTTTTTGTCAAGTGGATAATGGTAACTGTCAAAGTATATCAAATCTCTCAATTAATATCATCAAGATTGTAAACAATTCATGAAATGAATTAGGTTTACATTATTCTACTCCAGTTGTTGTACTAGTTAACACTTCTAAAGGGGAAAAATTTTATCAAAGAGAAGACAGCTTATACTAATGAATTAGTAGACGTTTTCAGTCACTATGGCTCCTTATAGTTACCTCATGTCATAGAATATTTCCTAATTTTACGTGAAGTATGTTAGTTGTAAAGGAAAGGGTATTCGTTACCGTTTGACATCAGGACTTAAAATCGGACTTCAACATATAGAAATATAGTTTAATTAATGTAATTCGATTTAAACCAATCCATACATTTAGTTGGACAAAATAACCGTTATTGTTGGAGTTTCTCTGGGTTTGATGGTTTAATTGTGAACCTGTAGCTAACCTTCTGGACAAAGTTTGCAGAAATTCGAATTGCCCACCTCCATGTGAAGTTTATGCTATTGATCTCATCTAGAAGGATAATGTTAAACGACTGTAAAACCCAGCTCATACAAGCAAACCATCATCCATGGTCTTCCGTACGTAACTACCTTACACCCGATAGGGTTGAATTTCCTTAATCATAGCTTCTCACTAGAACTCTGGGAATTCCCTCTCGAAGCTAGCCATCACTGAGCACATGATAACTAACAGTATATGGTTGTGGAAATTGTTGAGTCTCACTGAAATCATTAACCGATCAGGTTTACAATGGTTGTTTAACATTTATTGGTTTATGATTTCAGTAAAAATTAAAAACCTACTCAGCCTTATACTGACACTTGTTTCGTGTGTCAGTGACTTGAAACCTATTTTATACATCGATTTAAATAATGCCTGTAATATAATTAACATTGTATATATCAGAGAAATCTTAACTTTATGTACAAACAACAAAACTTACTCATGGACGTTGGTTAGTAGTGGAATCCAAGATGCTCTCCTCTTTTTACTTTGGGCTCGTCAGCTGGATCGGTGTTCACTCTGGGACTCGAACTTAGTACAACTCGCTTCAAACGCCATTCACTTAGCTACTGAGCCTAGTTAGCTACTGGTTCGTGCACTTCTAGTCACCACCCATTCCTTCTTATAACGCTTGTGAATTAAGGTAATATCTCGGCAATCAGCACTGGATGCACATATCCTAATACGAATCTGATCGATGACAGTCCTTAACGTCAATGAAAAGACTCAAACAAACAATACAATACGAATAAAACTCAGATATCTAGGAAAATGAAAGTTAACAAACTCATCTACTAATCCCTTTTTTTACAAACCACACACCTAATAATCAATATTGACAATTTCATGATTCAACAAAGAAATATCGGGACATTTTGCTCGGGATAAATATAATGGTAACAAGATAATATTAATCACCTGCAATTTTCTTAACATTTTCTGGAAAATAAATTAGATAAGTAAGAGGATTGAAATTTATAAAGTCAATCAAATTAGGAGTACGAACTGCATTCATCATTAAATTTAATATTTTAAGTGTTCCTAAAATAAAACATTTATTGAATACTTTTTTGGTTTCTAAAAATTTTTAATTAGGAGAACAATAAGAAATCAGCTTTTGAAGGGGTTTTATGGAGATTTCAATATTTTCATATTTGAAATCAATTGTCTGGAAGCATTGGACAGCCGTTTCGTTCTATTGTAGGACTCCTCAGCAGTTCGCATCCACGATCCTGCTCTCGCGAGACTCGAACCTAAAACCTATCAGTCTCTTGCGTGAGCACTTAACCATTAAACCACTGAGCCGGCGGCTGGCATTCAACGGTGTTATTGTCTAACTTCAACCAATTCACAATGTTGAGCAACCATTCACTAATGTCTTCAGTGAATTGATCAAATCTCGCGAGGAAGAATCTTGGATACGCATTACTCAACAGTTCCATAATAGGATGAGTTGGCCGTCAAGCAGTGCTTTCAGATTTTCCACGATTGGTCTAGCTTCAATTGACTCATGATTTCAACTATAAAAATCAGCTTCTTCTAATAAATATCACTTGAATGTTATAAAGTTATACTAATAAGATAAATACAAGTTCATTAAATATGTTTATTAAGAAAAAGACAAACAATATATGTATATATATATTCATCATCATTTGATTTATACACAACATTCAATGTTTCCTAGATATGATCAACAAGAATAGTAGCCGCCAGTAGTATATCAGTAACTATATATTAATTTGTATTAATATGGAAGATATGTAACATAATGTTTATTTTTTCTTTTATCACTATCAATAATAGTATGATATTTTTTAGTTTTACTATCATGTTTTGATTTACCAGAACGTTTTATACTACCATAAATATCATAATTAGAATAATTTTTAATTTTACCTTTTGGATCTTGTTCACCACTATGATGATATGATATAGATTCTTCATAATCTGTTGTTTTTAATGTATCATCAAATAGAAATAGATCATTTGGTAGTTTATCATCCCCAATATAATCATTATAATTTTGATTTGTTGAATATTTATATGGGTTATTATTATTATATAGGGATTTGGCATTATTATTTTTATTATGGTTTCTATGGTTCCTTTTCGTATGATATGATTGGTAATTTGAAGGGTAATAATTCGATGATCCCTTTGATTCAGAATAATAATGATTATGATTATTATTGTAACCATAGTTACTATGAGAATATTGTTTATTATATGCATTTGGATTCATTTCTTTAAAATATCCATCTGAACTTTTTTTAGCTATTTCACTTGAAAAATGTCGATCAAATTGACCATATTTAAGATCAATTGTACGTAGAGTATAATATTTTTTCTTTAATTTTTTTGGATAAAATATATATAATTTATTATCAATTGGGAAATAACCATTTAAATAGATTATTCTATAAGGTACATATTTTTGATGTTTATATGATGTTGTAGGTAGATTAGAATAATCAAGATTATCTACTGTATTCTTAGTATTATATGAATTATAGTCATTGTAGACGTCACCTTCATAATTGTTCTCATTTTCATAATCATTTTTTTGATCATCATTATATTCACCACTTGATGGATGTCGTTTCATTGTTTTTGTTTGATAATTATTGAATACATCTCGTCTTGGATAATATTCATCATATTGAGTGTTATAATCATTTTCTTCATAATCATTATATGTACCACTGTATTCAACTGGTCCATAGTATTGATCATTTTCACCATAATTAACTTCATAATCTGAATTTGGATAACCGTTTGAATAAGTTCCAGAGTATTCATACTCAATATCATTATTATTATTATTGTCACCTTCGTCAACATAATAATCATACGGTGTCACTTGATATGTATCATACATTTCACCAGTTCCTTCATAATATGGTTGTTCATTAGAAGTGATATCTCCTTCATGATAATATAAAGGGGTTTGTAGTCGTTGCTGTTGTCTGTCATTTTCTTCTGACATTAATGTAACATATCCTAAACATTGTGACCAATAATTTAAAAAAATGACTAATATTAATTGTCTTATATTCAACAATTTCATGTAGACAAATTTCTTTTTTTTTTTGTTACCAAGAGAAATATGTATAATTACGTGTAACAATCATGAATGACCCTTGGTTTATATTACTTTTAATAAGTTTGTTTAAGTTGATCAATAACCCCTTTTGCATTAATATACAAATACGTAATTATATTATTAGAATTTACGCAATTCATTACTTGATATATACGTCAACAACATTATACTAACCTCTTCTTTATAATTAAAGTACAGTGCATATATACTACTTTATTAATTTATCAATTTGTGAACGTACTTTGTTATTATTGTTACATAATTCATTTATTATATAAATTGAATAGAGTGCATTGAAAGCTTTAGCTTATTTAAAAAAAAAAAGAAAGAAAGAAAGAAAGAAAGGAAACAAATGAGCGATTAATCCTCAACAGAAACCATCGTCATAATTAGATTAATGTTTACAAACGTTTTAATTAGTAAATAATCATGGGATCCTGAATTTCCAAATTTTTAATCGTGACTGGTAAAGTTCATCTATGTTGTTAGACATTGACCTATTAATTATATTGGATAATCATCGAACTATTTCATGAACTAATCGAAGGTGGACATGTAGATCGTCGTATTTCAACTCACTTCTCACTGTCAAGAGTGAGTGTTACCGAAAAATTCCATAATATCGACTGAACTTCATTTACTTTTAATCTCTAATACTAGATAACAGTGCACGGGAGTACTTCAGCTTTAATAGACAATAATTTAATATTAGAAAGTGTGTGCTACTCAACTTGTGATAGATAATCGTTTTATGGTCATCACTGTTTCAATAATCGATCATTATTATTTCGTCATGAAGGCTGATTATTTTACGACAACTGACTTATGAAAATTATTGATAAAATATGAGCCAACAGCTCTTTTTATGTTTCGATTTTGATAATTTTTTTCTAGTCGACTGGGATATTATTGCACAAAACACAATTTATATATGCATTTCACACTCCTTACATTTTACTATTTTAAAGCATCTCTGATGTATAGTAGGATTGAGTGACGTTTGAATTGGCTTTATTAGTACATTTACTGTTAAAATATCAGACCTTGATAAATCAGATCTATAATTTCTACAGACTGTGAGTCTATAGTGAAAACTATCTTGAAAAAACATACAATTTAACTTGGTTATATGGAAGTAATATTTTCACAATTGATACTGATAACCATTATGTTTGATTTATTGAACTTCTATATGTTGTGACTATATAAAAAGAAATCACCAATTTGTTATGATCAGAAGGAGTTTCGAGGAGAATTTAACATTTTCATACTTGAGATCATGAGTCAATTGAAGCTAGACAACCACGGAAAACCTGAAAGCACTGCTTGACAGCCAACTCGTTCTATTGTGGGACTTCTCAACAGTGCGCATCCACGAACCCGCACTCGCGAGATTCAAACCCAGGACCTACCAGTCTCGCGCCGGAGCACTTAACCGATAGATTGGTTGAAGTTAGACATTAACACCGTTGGATGCCAGCCGGCTCAGTGTTCTATCAGTTAAGTGCTGTGGCTTGAGACCGGTAGGTCCTGGGTTCGAGTCTCACGAGACGGAATCGTGGATGCACACTGTTGAGGAGACCCACAATAGGACGAGTTGACCGTCAAGCAGTGCTTCCAGGTTTTCCATGGTTGTCTAGCTCCAATCGACTCATGATTTCAACTATGAAAATTTGTTATGACTTTATAAAGAATAGGAGGACGTATGCTAATTCATTATTGATTTTGTGTCCGGCTTTTTATCACGTGAATTATCCATCAATCGAAATACAACTTTTCCAATCTTAACACTGTGACAAATCAATGACGTTCGACTAGTATGAGTAGTCTAGCGTCCTTACTGGTCCCTTGTCCGCCTTCCCCTTCCAATTGAGTCCAGAACACCGATCAGCTTCTGCTATGCAAATCTATGCGAATCATTTATTTCAAGTATACTCGGTTTATATACTAGACAAACAGACCACATCACACCATAAAATAGAAAATAATATTTGTACAAGATCAAGCCAAATGCGGCTGTGAACATGGTATACAGTAATCAATAAACTGATTATAATTTCGGAACAGTAAATCGTACAGTAAAAATTCATAAGTCAAAATGAAGCTTATAATAAGATGAACATATATAGATTAAATCTAATCACTTAATAGTTAAGCAGTAAGAATATATATATATATATATATATATATATATATATATATAGAATAATCGTCCCGGAAATTACTCGTACTCATATCTTCGCTAGGATATAACAGTATGCAAAATACTTGTTGACTGATAATGAATAATAAATTGTATAATATACTCATTAATAGAATTTAAATTAAATCAAGTCCTAAGGTCTATTAGTTGTCATATGAAATATAAACACATAAATATTTACGTACACATCATTTACATTTTATTATCATAGTTCATATGAATAATAAACATTACTTCCTTCCTTCCTTCCTTACTTGCTTACTTACTTACTTACTTACTTACTTACTTACTTACTTACTTACTTACTTACTTACTTACTTACTTACTTACTTACTTACTTACTTACTTACTTACTTACTTACTTACTTACTTACTTACTTACTTACTTACGCCTGTTACCCCTCGTGGAGGAGCATAAATAATCAACATTAATACTATAAATTTTATTATATCTGATTTAATCATATCAATATCCTGTTTCATTGAATTCATTATAAATAAAAAATCATTCCCCTATTTTCAATTGACTTTTTATGATAAACATTAAAACTGTTTAAATAATGATTTACGTACTTAGTCAAGATTTGAAGTCAGCCTAATAACTAATAAAAATTATAAAATATTGTTAAGTAGGTTTGTTCTCTTTGGGTACCCTAAGAAAATGTGCAGTCTTAACTTTTAGATTTGTTTATTAGGATGATACTATTGTGTTAGTAAGTTGAAGTGCCCCCAAATGCGCTGGTACGGCTGACAGTGGGGAGAGTCAGCTCTCCCTCTCCAAATGCTCTCATATGGCCACGCGTATATAACCTACGTCAGGGAAGTCCTACTAACTGCTTTCTCGTGTCATTACTGTTGTTTACGGAATCGAGAGGACGAAAAGTGAGTGTTCGGTGCTTTAACCGGGTTGGTGGACACGGAACGTCCACCTAGGGGATTTGGAAATCCCTGATTCCAAACCAATAGTGCACATGGGCTCCATTATCCTGAAGGAACAAAGGGCGCATGAATCAATTGTTTGTCACCGGCTACCATGGGATTGCATCTCCTCACCATGCTCCACTGCCTTGTGGATCAGATCTTTAGGTTGAAGGCTCCGGGTGTGGCCCCTTAAGAAAAGCACCTGTTTCGGTTTGGGCACCCGAGCAGTATCACAGCCCTCACACAAACCTCATTTGATTTGTGTGACGCATATATATCTGGTGCCCCTTCGTCTAGTCATCAATTGTTATTCCCAGGCCATGCTTTTGATGTAATAAAAGTTAGCTTTCCATCTGATGACTATGACAAATTCGATACCATGTTCCGCCTCATGCTACTTACAAGCAATCTCGTGAGTAGCATCTTCCAATGAGACCGTAAGACATTCATACTGACTAAAGCCTTCAGAAAAATACATATCTCTGCATGCGATTTCTTGAATCTCTTATGACTTTAAGCTATTTACAACCAACCAGGATCAGATATGGTTACTTACTGAAATTGTAAAATCAATTGGTGTAGACTTAAACTCTGCATTTTTAGTAGTTTGGGTGTGAACTTTAAAGTAATAAAACGTGAGTTTAGTCAAATTAAAATTCCATTGTTTACATTACTGACTGACCCTAATTAAACAACCATTGAAAAACTAGAAGCTCTGACCAACTATTCTATCCTGGTGTGAAACTACACAAGAATGAGCATCCGAGATCCCATAGGGAATCGAACCTACGATATTCACATCTGACGGTCAGTGCTTAACCACTGTACCAATGATTCGATATCCACCATCTACTATATCATGGAGTTAATCACTATTGGGACTGGAAGATAGTTACTTATTATTTCGGGTTGTTTAAAATCACACATATTAGCCAATGGATGCTGTCTTTGTAGCCCATAGATAAGGCATTCACCTCTGTTGACTTTAAAGTCCTAATTTGGATTTTCGCCAGGTTCTTAAACACGCACTTTTGCTTAGTTCCTTGCTAAAAGGAAGCAGCTGTACATTGATTTTAGGTTTTCAATAGTTATTTAACTAAGATCGGTCCGTAATGCAAACTAGAAAAGCCAACAGTCTTCACAAAGCCACGATTGTTATAACTTTGTTTCGATTATTTTTACAAATAAATCAGTGATCCAATTTATCGTGTGAACTATCTGTTACAGTTATTTACTTCTTATACTCATGTTTTTTGGTTTGTGTGTGTGTATATTTGCTTATTTTTCATAGTAATCTTTACAAATAACGTTCACTGTATTCACTTGCTGGTTGGATTAAATCATAAACATTTGATTTGCATGAAATCATTAAATATAATTTGCATTTGAATATAAAATAAATTGATAAAGTTCACTTATTTGTTTTAATACATTGAACTCTATTGTTTCAGTTTTTGATGTAGGTTTGTTTTCTGAGCTGGATGGTTTGGTCGTGGAGTTTTCATCGTCCTTCTGAAAGATATCATCAGCACAAACTTCGGGTAGAAGTGAAGTGATTGACGATGTCATTCAGAAGGACGATGAAAGCTCCACGACCAAACCATCCAGCTCAGAGAACAAACCTACATCAAAATCACCCACCTGTGCTACAAATCTTCTCCACCATCTATTGTTTCAATACCTAATGTCAATATTGTAGATCAGATGATGGTATTATGTAAACCCTGTCATTCTTTGGTTGATATACATTAACAAGGAAATGTTTTTTATTCTGATAATGACTTATGGATCTAAATCCGAAATAACGTTACTTATTCTTCAAAGATAAAAGTTAGTTGGTCGCTAAAAATCAGATAAAACTTGACAGCTATTTCATTTTAATACAATACTCCTTT